ACTTATTTCCACTTTAAGTAACCAATTAAATGTTATTTTTTTATATGATTTTGGGTCCAGTATTCATACAAAATACAGTCAAATAGAGATAATTGTAAAGCCAGAGCGGAAACACGGTGCAGTCGCCCCACATTACAGATGCCACCTTTGACTCCTGATTATTTCAGTGAGTCTTCTCTTTCCTGACTTTAACAGTCGGCACTCTGTGCGTTTCTCTGAAAGTGTGTGGGGGTAAGATTTCTAGTTAAAGCATATGATGTGCCGGATCAAATCTCAAAGCAGATTCTGCAGCCTACAGGGGCCTAGAAACTTCACCATCTACACACACACATACGTGCTTTGGACGGACTCCAGAGCAAATGGAAATCAGGTCAAGATTTTCTTTCTCTCGAGCAAGTCAGCAGAAGAATGGGTCAAAGTTGGGTTAACAAAGCACTTCCAAAAGCTCGATACAGTTTTGAATTCTGCTGGTTTAAACTTTGGATTTACAGTTTTAGGCTTTTACATACTTTCACTGCTTGCTTAAAGATTAAAGCTACTCCCTGCAAAGTCATGAAGCCAGGTAATAAAAAAAAAATAAAAAAAGAGTAAAAAACAAAATCCACTCATTTTTTTTCTAAAACTGTTGATTAGTGTAGAATGAAAATCAATTAGCAAAAATTTTAAACGGCTGCCGACGACCAGGTATGTTTGTTTAGCTACCGGGCAGCTGTGGCTAAATGGTTAGAGCAGTCGTCCTCCAATGCAAAATTTGGGGGTTCGACTCCCAGCAGCAGTCACATGCCAAAGTGTCCCTGGGCAAGACACTGAACACCTCATTGCCTCCGATGTGTGTCCCATTGTATGATTGTGATAAATCACTGATTAATCATCGTATAGATACAGTAGAGTGCTGTATGAATGTGTAAATGAGAGCACAGATTGTTGTTTAAAGAGCTTTGAGTATCTTGATAAGAAAGCCACTATAAAAGTATAATCCATTTACATACGGAAACAGCCAAATTGACTGAAAATAGGACAGTGGTGACGTTTGCAATGGAGAAGTCTGACAGTTTTAATGTACTGGTGCGTATTTACGCTTAGATTTAATAAGCAAAGTTATTTTTTTCCTTTGGCTGTTCCCTTCTTCAGGGGTTGCCACAGAAAACAAACTCACATGGAAGATGTGGCATTTGTTTTTACTCCAGATGTCGTCCCTGACTCATTCATTCAACCTTCATTTATGCAGATTAATCAATTAAGTTAATCAATCATTTACAAGAGAGACCTGATTTGATGATAACAATAGACAACAAAGACAACAATAGACAATCATAAACGATGCGTATAAATTGAGATTTATTTTTTATAACAAGTAAAAATAAAATGGTATTTAAAAGAAAAAGTAACAACAAAAATCAAGTTGTAAAGCGATGTAGAAAACTAAAAACAGGAACATGTCTGCATTGGGTTTTTTCCCAGGAACTTCACAGATGTTTGAAGCCACTTACAGAGGTCAAGGTCGAGAGCTTCAGATCTTTTTGCAAGATATTCCAGGAAACAGGAGCGGAGTAGGAGAAGGCCCTTTTGCCTAGTTCAGTTTGAGGGAACACTGCAGGTAACAATGTCCTGAGAGCGCACGCTGTAGCTGCACTCACGCAGAGACATGTAGGAGGAGATGTATGAAGGAAACAGACCAAGAAGTGATTTAAAGATGAAAATGTACCAGTGAGAGATCTGCGTGAAGTTAATGATGACCAGTTAACCAGTGAATACAGGGTGCAATGATGGGTACGGTAGTTACAGCCAGTTATGAATCTTAGCGCACCATGATAGACAGCATCTGCAGGGAGCTTGTAGGAGCATTCATGTAATAAATAATGTCACCGTAGTCAATGGAGGGTAGTAAAGTCGCAGTCGATTCAATTAAATTCAGTTCAGTTTATTTATTTAGCGCCAAGTCACAACAGAGGTCATCTCAGGGCACTCACAAGGCGACTCAACCTGAGCTCGAACCTGCAGCCTCAGGACTATGGACCACGGCTCTGACCACCGAGCTACCACAGCCACCTGAATTGTTGAGTAAAGCTAGCTGGTATAAACGTGGGATGAAACAGTAAACTTACCGATACAAGTTTTGGAAAAGCTGTGTGTTTTTGAATGTCCAGCTCTGTTTTAATGGCACCTCAAAGCCCTACTTCAATCCCTGATATTAAATCTGAACAGTTGTCTTTGTTTATTCTTTCTATTTGTGTTTAGCAGCAGATTCACGATCTTGTTTCTACATAAACTATTCTATGCTGGTCCAATCCCACGATATTTGTTTCCCTACAGACACCCTAATTCATCTCATGACTTTGAGGTGTTTTGTTGCAGATTCATCTAAATGCTTTGTTTATACTGAGTGCGTGCCCACATTTCAGAACTGCATATCAAAGTATCTAAAAAGCTACTGAAGTGAATACAAAAAGTAGCTGAAGGCGTTTTGCTTAATCAACACTTCAGTCTCAAGCATGATCACAGTAGGATGGAAAATTGCGAATGCACAAACACTCATTTGGACCGAGGATGAGGCTGGGTTGCTGACACATGTTGAAAATGGTGAGTAGTGGACAAATAACTGCTCTCCATCATGTTTCTGCTGTCGACCTACTCATGCAAGCTCATAAAAAACTATTGACTGACTGCAACCCAGTGGTGTAGTCCACGTGATACGCGGGCATATGGAGTATACCCACAGAAGAATTTCAGTATACCCACTTAAAAGTGCCCAATGATACGTGACATATCACTAGGCACATGTCACTGATACGTTAGACAGCGGTTAAACGCTTCCATAACAATCTATCGGTATCCAGCGCTTGTTTATTACATTCACTTATCCAGCGAAATATTGTATAATTAATACTTCTGTACTTACTACTTAATACTTGAACATGTTTTAACTTGATACTGTTTGATAAATTCTATAACATGTTTTTAATATAAGCCAACTGTTATATAAAGTTGGTTGTACATTTATTCAAACAAAAGCATCAGAGAAAGTTGGAAATGTTCAATATGCTTAAAAATCGACATAAATTGGCGATTCCATTGTACTAACTTTGGTTTCTGAGCACAGTATACGGACCTACCGTGGTAAAGTTAGTTTTTTACGTTGGACATTGCACATTCACGCTCCGTGACTTCAACGGTGTCCAATGTCCAACATAAAACTAACGGTATACCCACTACAAAAATGTAGACTACACTTGGATGAACCAGCCTCTGTCTGAAGGTCCTGCTGGGTTTGAAACACACCTGAGATGTTGTGTTGGGAGAATATCCAGCCTGACCAAGACTATAATTCTTAAAAAGACTAAAGAAGTTTCCTGATGCATGCTCAATAATCCAGAACGAAGTTTGGTACGAACACTGGCATCCTCTCGAACTTTGATAGGTGCACCATTGAGAGCCTGCTGACAGGCTGCATCACAGGGTGGTATCACAGAACTGCACCAGTCTGAGCCAGAAAGCTCTACGGAGGGTGGTGCAAACGGCAGAACATCACTGGTAGCAGTCTCCACACCATCCAGGACATCTACCACAGCTGATGTTTGCATAAAGCATACAGCATCATCAAGGACCACACCCACCCAGCACAAGGACTCTTCCATCTTCAGGCAGATGATACAGTGGTCTGCCATCGCACAAAAAGACACAAAGACAGTTGTTACCCACAAGCTGTCAGATTACTGAACTCTTGATAATAATACTGAACAAAACATTGCACCAAACCACAACTGTGACACCTAATATGTTTATTGCTGCTGCGCTATATGGATGTATCATGTATACCATCATGATTCATCTCAATGTTCCTCACTATGTGCAATAACCTGTCATGCAACCTGTGCAGTATATGTGCAATATATATCATGTATTTACGCTTATTTTACTACCTTGAAATACTTATTCATACAAATTCATCCTATTTGCACCGTTACATTCTACCATGGTGCTGTTTACTATATTTCTTTTGGACCTTGTAAATATTATAATAACTTTTTCACTTTTTTTTTTTTTGGTACTTTATTTTGGACCCTTATTGCACGCGTTAGTATTTCTTGCTTTGCTCTTTGTTTTTAGCGAGTCGAATCGGTTCTTCTCATCCTGAACATTTCATTGCACTGTTGACCTTGTGTTAACGTGCACGTATGACAAATAAACACAACTTGAACTTGAAATCCTTCTGAGTTTCTCAGACGACATGTGGCATGACAATGTTCTGTTCTGTGACCAGATGTTTTAGGTTTCTTCTCTGACTTGATAAAAGTCTAGTGAGAAGATTTAGAGTTTTTTCTTTATGTTTTCTGTTCCCTTCTGTCTTCGTGGGGACATGTTGGGCCCAGAAAGAACCGTCTGTTCGACTCTGAAACACAAACTTTCCATCATTAGAACAGACTCAGGACAAAGAGAACAAAAACACCTTTGTCAAGACAAAACTTCAAATGAAACAATAAGCTTCTTCCTTTTTTTTTTTTTTTATTGGTGGACTACAGCACCTTTGGAACTACATTTGATAAAGCAGGATAACTTTTATTTATTTGATTTATTTAAAGCTTGAATGTTTTGTCTGGTGAAGACACAGTCCTCCTGTTTAACCTGGTTTCAACCTTTTCAAGAGAATTGAATTAACAGTGACCTTGGAGGGAAGCGGCATCCCCTGAAAACTGTCGATTTACAGGAATGTTGGAGATCAGTGCCCCCCCCCCCCCCCCTTCCCTGGGGTGGGGGCAGCGATAAGCAGGAGTTATGTATTATTTATCTAAGCCCCTCCACGTGTGCGTCTTTCTGGGATGGTCCCTCATCAGCCCTGTGATTGGACACACCTTCCACTTGCTCACGATCTTTGCAGATCAGTGGAAGAGGGGCGGGTAGCCCCCTGAGCAAAAGCAAAAAAAAAAAAAAAAAAAAGCTGAACATTTACAGGTTTTTTTTTTTTCTCCCTCCCGCGTGGCTCCGAGGCGCAGCGCGCGCGTTATAAATACAGCCTCCAGCTGGGAAAACAAATGCGCCCTGACACCCGAGCAGACACCAACACTGAGAACCAGGAGGATGTCGCCGCAAGCTCTGAGAGTCTCTGTCCGCAACTCCTTCCCCCTGCTCAGGTGGATGGACAGGTGGTCCGGTGGCGCGGCGGTGGCACCGGCGGACGGCGCGCCGAAAGTCCGGACCCTGGCCGACATGCCCGGACCGAAGGTGGCCAGCTTCCTCTGGGACTTGTTTGCCAAGAACGGTCTGTCACGTCTGCACGAGCTCCAGGTGAGGAGCACCTGCAACCGCTTTTTGTCTTTTAATGTTTCAATTCAGAGGTAGCTCAAATCTTGAAATGCATGGAGGGTTAAAAAAAAAACAAAAAAAAACAAAACGTTTATAAATATTTTCTGTCTGCATGTGTGTGTGCGCGCGCTTGCCCGTGTGCGCGTGTGATATAGCTCATTATCTGTCCCCATTTAAACTTTTACCTCAAACTGTTTATTTTACGCACAAAAAGCTTATTTGCACTGCTTTAACCTGGACAACCACCTAAAGGAGATTCAAAAATCACCTGAGCCTGCAGGGGTTTAATTTTTTTAACAAAAATAAATTAACAAAATAAATATCTTAGTCTTTTTTTTTAACTCTCCAGATGGAAGGGCTCAGCCGATATGGCCCGATGTGGAAGGCAAGCTTTGGCCCCATCCTCACTGTTCACGTGGCCAAGCCGGAGCTCATAGAGCAGGTCCTGAGGCAGGAGGGCCAGCACCCCATGCGCTCCAACCTGTCCTCCTGGAAGGACTACAGGAAGCTCAGGGGACACCACTGTGGACTCTTGACGTCGTGAGTACTGCTCCTTTTGTTCCCAAAGCAGAGACCGAGCAAAAACCGCTTGAAAAGTTACATGTGTGGTCACACATCTCTGTGAATTCACTCCTCAGGGAGGGGGAGGAGTGGCAGGAGGTGAGAAGTCTCCTGGGGAAGCACATGCTGCGACCGAAGGCGGTGGAAGTTTACGATAAGACCCTGAACAGCGTCGTCAGTGACCTCGTCGCAAAACTTCGCCACTGCCGAAGCTCTCAAGGCCTCGTCACCGACATCGCCAGCGAGTTCTATCGCTTCGGCCTCGAGGGTAAGATCGGGCTTTTCTGCACCATGTAGACACCAGGACCTTTAGGAGAACCGTGGACTATCTCTTGACGTCGTAAACACACGGCTGTCAGTCAGAATCGGTCTCCTGAACACATTATGATCAGGAAAAAGGTGCTTAATTTAACCCTAAACTGGTTTAACAAGTTTTATTGGTGACAACCAGCCACCTCATCTCCGTCCCAGTTCCCTGACGTTGCTGCTCTTGTTGTTTCCGACAGGCATTTCCTCGGTGCTGTTTGAGTCCAGAATTGGTTGCTTGGATCCAGTCGTTCCAGAGGAGACGGAGCGTTTCATCCAGTCCATCAACACCATGTTCGTGATGACCCTCATCACCATGGCATTGCCAAGCTGGATGTACCAGCTGTGCCCCAAACCCTGGAATGACTTTTATCAGTCCTGGGACTACATGTTTGAATTTGGTAGGTATCACTTTAAATATCTTAAATATATATAGACAACAGTATTGGACAAAATATCTTGATGGCAAGGGAATAGGATTACCAGAAATAATCAACCAGCAGGGAGAATTAACAGATTCTAGAGGATCGTCCAAAGAAGGATAGACTCTAAAGCTAACGTATCGTTTGGAGCACGGTTTTCCTGCTCGAGTCTTATTTGCCGTGGGAGGGGGTTTGACTCAGCTGTGTGGCGTCTTACACAGATCTGAGACCTCAAACATGTTTCAAATAATCACCTTAAACCAGGAAGCAGGAGATTAAAGTCTTTAACCCTCACGCACTGCGAGATAATCTGCCCAGAAACTGACACAACGTCCAGTGAATTCATAGCGGCTTCGCTTGATGTTTAAATTTACCTTTGAATCTGCAGCTTTGTCGTGACTGGTCCTGGTTGTTTTGTTCTGCGCGCAGCAAAGGGCCATATCGACAAGCGGATGGCGGCCGACGCTGAGAAGGTTGCCAGAGGAGAGACGGTGGAGGGGCGGTATCTCACCTACTTCCTGTCCCGGACGAACTTGCCCATGAAGACCATCTACAGCAACGTCACCGAGCTGCTTCTCGCCGGAGTCGACACGGTAAGGTCGAGACCTCCCAGAGTTCTTTACGTCCCAGTCTCACTGGGATTAACCTGTATAGATAAAGGTTGAATGAAAAAAAGGTCTCGTCTCTCATGTCCTCGTCTCGTTGGCGTTTTCAGATTTCCAGCACCCTGTCCTGGACGTTGTACGAGCTGTCTCGCCACCCAGAGATCCAGGCTGAGATCAGGAAGGAGCTGCTGACGGTGCTGGGGGGTCGGAGGATCCCTGTGGCTGCAGACGTGGCCTGCATGCGTCTCCTGAAGGCCACGGTCAAAGAGGTGCTCAGGTAAGTCTCACAAGCTTTTTATGTTTATGAAGTTTTTTTTTAATCTCCAAAGTGAACTTTTGCCTGAACTTAATCCGACTTCTTTGTTTTGCAGGTTGTACCCAGTCATCCCTGCCAACGCAAGGGTCATTCCAGAAAGAGACATCCAGGTCGGAGGTTACATCATTCCTAAAAACGTGAGTGTTACTTAAACCTGCGCCTGCGCGTCACCTTGACTTGCTTTTAGCTCACATCTGATTGTTAATCCCACCTCCTTCTAGACTTTGATTACCTTGTGCCAGTTTGCAACATCTCGGGACCCCGCGGTGTTTCCGAATCCAAACGACTTCCATCCCTATCGCTGGTTCAGCAAGGACCAGACCCATCACCCGTACGCTTCTGTGCCCTTCGGCGTGGGGAAACGGAGCTGCATAGGTCGTCGGATCGCGGAGCTGGAGCTCTACCTCGCTCTCTCACGGGTACGTTGACGTCACTTTTTTTGTTGTTGTTTGGAAACGAGCCTTTTACACGCAGAATAAACGGTTTCACTGTAAATAATAGCAAATTATATTTTGTCAGCCGAGCACAAATTAGCCGTGCGACCTGTAAAATAAAACGACACTCAAGAGTGTGTTTTAGCAGAAGCTATAATCCTGTTGGATTATGTAGTCCAGGGATTTTCCTCTTTATCCATCACTTTGTTTCTTTATTTATTCACAGTCACGTGGCTCCTAATTATTAAATTTTGTTTCTGCTCTTCCACCAGATCCTGACTGAGTTCGAAGTGAAGCCGGACCCAAGGGGGGGTTCTGTGAAGCCCATGACGCGAACCCTTCTGGTTCCTAAAAATGTCATCAACCTCCAGTTTATTGAACGATGACCTGCTCTTTCCTCCCGATCTTGTCGTTTACGCTTGTGAGTCGTCGTCCCCTCCCCTTCCACCCACCCCCCAACTTTCCTAGGAAGTGCAAAGAGCTGGCAGGCATCGTTATCACAGGAGCATGAGGCGGGTCTTCAGCCTTTGACCCAGAAAGCCTGCAGCTCAGGGGCCGACATGAAAGATGGAAAGAAGCTCATGGACTTGTTCTCTCTCTCTTTCTGGGTGAGGTTTGACAACCTCAGTTCGTCCCTCCCCCCCCTTCCCACACCCCCATCGTCTGACTTTTCCCACAGATAAAACCCAACGTTTTGGACTCACATTTAATCGGACAATCGATCTTGCTTGTTTTGTTTAAAATATAAAATCTGCTCCAACACGTCTGTGTTCAAAGCAGATTTTCCAGGAAGCCGTTTCTCGACAGGATCAGTGATTTCCTGCGTCCTCATCAAGAACGTGTCCGCAGAGGTCCATGCCCAACACACGCACTGAGTTCAAACTGGTGCAGGGACGCACCGTTTCTCCTTTGATTCTCTTGCTGTGGTTCTTAAATCTGGTGCTAACGGAGGGATGGGGTGGGGGTGGGGGTGGGTGGGGTGTACTACTGGGAGTACTTCAGTAATAAAAGGCAGCTCTTTAGATTAAACCTGTGTAGGATTATATGGTGCTACTGGAATTTCAGATGCGGGTACACTCGTGTTGTTCTGTTCACTTAAAGCTTTACAGTATGAGTTCATCTGCATTTTTAATTGTTAAAGTTTGTTACGTTCGCTTGTAAAAGCATAACTTGATTTTTTTTTAAATATGTAAAAGTATCTGAAGCTGTTATTGTGAATGTCAATAAAAGGTTTCATGTTGCTCATCTGCCTGTTTGTGTATTCTTCTGTCTGTTTGCCATCAGCTCCATCCCATTAAGGCCGTCAAACATGTTTCTAATTGACCGAAGTTTGAAACTGATTAATAATGATGGCTAGGTGCGTAAATTTGTTGCATAAACATAAGCAGGTTGGAAGATTTGGCGCAGCTGTGGGTGAATCTTTTAGTCATTTTGCTTTTGTGAAACATTCACATTTGGAGCAATGATGTTTCAAAAATGTTTCTTGGCATTTGGGGGGAAGAATATTTTTGTTGCAGTCACATTTTTTGTGGATATTTAATCTGTTGCAGTTGTAAAATAATTATTTAAAGATCGAAGATCAATATCACACTGGAGATGAGCAGCGTTTCAACCAATCGTAGGCATAATCTCTTTAAGAAGCAACAAAAGTTCGACACCTCTGCACACTTCAGTCATTGTTTTTCTGTCTGTAAAGACAAATTCTCAACCCTTCGATTCATTTCCTGATTAAAGCCCTGGTTCATTGATCAAATGTCAGTTTTCTGTGTATAACATTGATGTTTAATTTCTGGACTCGCTTGTTTCATTAGAAGTCTTTTTTTTATGCTTCAACACTGCCTTCACCTTTCATTTTGAATTTAAAACATTACATTTCTGCCTGTTTTTCAACTATTAGCTGTAAATTCACTATTAGAGAACGTAATGACTAAATAAGGGCGACGGTAAGCCCCTCTCATACTGGGACGTCATCTTCAATGCAAATCTCCATAGATCATTATTTTCTTTGTCAAACAAACTTTTCAGGTATTCTGAAGAAGTTTAGTTTTTCCATCAAAATCTGGGATCATTATTATTATTAAAAGGATTATTTTTCCTACAACAAATAATGTAACTTGTCCCCATCCATTCTTATCTTAAATTAACTTTGAGGATATCTTAAAAAGATATTTTTCTTTACTAGTCACAATTGTTTTAGATATTTAATAAAAATGAATGGGCTTTTGAATATCCTCTCTCTTAAAAACAACAAAAAAAGCTAGAAACAATGTGATTAAGCATATCCACCATTCATATTATAGTTATAAAGTAATCCAATAGTTCATAAACATATAAAAATAAATTTGTTGTTATTTGCAATTGTGTTCATGTTAGTCATTAAAATCTTTTTGGGATGCAGTTTTAATATTAAACAAGTTAAAAGAGAAACGTCACCTGTAACAATTACATTGCAGATATCATGCTCAATAATCCAGGTAAAAAAATCCAACAATGTTCATTCAGGTCATTTGGACAGTTTCTTTTTTTGTTGAGATGTTTCGCCCATCATCCGAAGGGCTTCATCAATCTGAGGAGTCACAAACAAACTGTTTCCCAAAATTGCAGATATCTAAAATGTGAGTTTCTCTTTGGGAACAACATATTCCAAATAACTGCGATCTTCACATTATGTGAACCTTGAAGACCATCATCAGGTCCTTATCATGGTCGTCATCAGTCTGGGAAGAATGGGACCGAAGATTTCTAAAATTATTTCAACGAACAATTGCATCTTGGACATCTAAATATTAAGTCTAATTCTTAAAATTCAACATAAAAACAATTAGATTTATTAAGCTTGTTGTTCGAGACATTAAACTAGGAATTTAATATGTGGAGATTTTCCATTTACATGTTTTAACATTTGATCAGAAGAATGGAGTGATTAGATGTTACATTGACCTGCCATACTATCCCTGCCCACAAGATGGCGGTAGTGCGCAGTAGGTTTGTTTGCATGACCGCGATAAATCAACACAGGAAGAGAAACACAGGCGAGTAGCTAATGCTAATAAGGTGAACGTTAAACGTTCAAGCTAGACATGTAGTCGAGTTAACACGGCGTTCCCTAAAGGCTAAAATAGACCAAATAAACTAAATTTATTGTATTTTCCAACAGCAAAAGATAAAATCGGTTAAAGGTGAGTCGTAAAGCAACAATGCTTGTAATCGCTCATTAGACAGCGCTGGTTGTGCTAACTTAGCTAAGCTAACGGAATTTTAACTTCCATTCATTTAAGATTGTTGACCTGGTTGTGTTATCTGTTACTGTAATTTCATTCCGGTATTGTGCATGATAGCTACGTTTCCAGAATAATTAAGTAAATATATATATTTAATGCCCAATTTTGCACTTGAAAGCGAGAGGCCTAGTGCTAACATAATGTAAACAAAGGAGTCGCATATTTGTTGTGAGTTGCATACAACACTACAGACGTTGTTGAAAATACAAGGTTTAGTAGAAGCTTTGTGCATTAAACACTTTCACTTCTGATGCAATTCATTACGGATACGATGAATGTGTTTGTGCCACTTTTAAAATCGCCAAAATGAACCTAGTTTTCTCTTTTTTTTTAGTGATTTTATTCATTTTTTTTACATTTGAGTAACATTTTTATACATGCAGTTAACTGTGATAAATGTAAACTGGCACAGCTCTGTTGAAGCTTTCAAACATAATAAAACTAATGTCTATAAATGTCATCTTTAGTTTCAACATGTAGCTCAAAGTAATATATGCATTTACTTTCTATTACTTTGACAATTCAAGAGGCAAGGCCTTGAATTTCCATGTCTAAAGTCCGTCCACATAGATGAATTTGTTATATTTTCTGTTTTCTGAAGTGCATGAAGAGATGCAGGCCTGTGACCCTGGGATCGGAGCGACGATGGGAGTCGCTGGTGTTCAGAGTCGATCTGAGGATGAAGAGTCTCTTGGAGTAAAAGACGTGAAAAGGACAGCGACCCAAGCATTTGGAGGTGGCGTTCCCAAACGGAGAAGTTCATCTAGGTTTGAATCACAAGCTACTGTACATTGAACTATTACAGCAGATCGGTAGTTGGGCAGCGATATTAAAACATATCCATTTGTGTGTCTACACAATAAGGTCAATAAAGAGAAAGAAGTTTGATGATGAACTTGTGGAGAGTAGTCTTGTGAAGTCGTCCAGTAGAGTCAAAGGTCCTCCTATCATAGAGCCTTTACGATGTTCGAGCAGTGAACCTTCATCTGTTGAAAAGAAAAAGGTATAAACATAATGACTCTAAGGCTAAAAAAAAAGAAGAACCTTCACAGAATGAGTTTATATAATATATATATTTTGTTGTACTAATTTTTAGGTGACAAAAACAGGCACTGCTCTCACACCTCCTCTGACAATGGTAATAAATCCCACACCTATGGCTAAAAGAGTGAAGAAAAGCAAGCAACCGTTGCATATTACTAAAGACTTGGGACGATGGAAACCTACAGATGATCTGCTGCTAATAAATGCTGTGCTACAGGTGAGGTCTAAAAAAAAAAGCCTGGTAATTTTTAATTTTACTTTAATGACTCCCAATTTTTTTTGTCAGTTTTTAATCTAAACATTCATTAATGTATGTGTGTGTGTGTATGTGCTTGTTTGTTTTTAGACTACTGATCTGAATGCTGTTCATCTCGGGGTCAAGTTTAGCTGTCGTTTCAGTTTACGGGAAATTAACGAGAGGTGGTACGCTCTGCTGTACGATCCCGTCATTTCCAAGTAAGAGGTTGAGCATTTATTCGTTTCAGCTCTTATCTTTTATTGTTGTTTCCGAGTTTGTCTTGTTGGTACCTCTGTTGCTGAATTGTCTTCTAAGAACTTTGTTGTGTTTTTTGTCTATTTGAACAGGTTGGCGTGGCAGGCTATGCGGCAGCTCCATCCTGAAGCAATTGCAGCGATTCAAAGTAAAGCTCTTTTCAGTCAAACGGAACAGACGCTGCTGGCCAAAATTGGTTCAGTAAGTCACGTAACACTTGTGAATATATATAGGATCAGTTACGATCGGGATTCAATGCACGAACAACTGGAGCAATATGTGTAAAGGAATAAACAACCCCTTTAAAATAAACTGACTTCCTGCTTAATGGAACATAACTTGTCTAACTTAATATTGTTAATTAATGCTTCTTTCTAAAAACAGACCAGTCAACCCAAACTAGATGTTTTCCAGGAGCTTCTGAGCAAACACCCCAGTGTCTTTCACCCCTCTCGCACACCCAAGAGCCTGATGGTTCACTGGCAGCTGCTCAAGCAGTACTACCTGCTGGATGACCAGAGTGGTAAGTAACACTGTTGTTTTATTTATTTATTTATTTTTTAAAGCGTAATTTCATCTCATCATTGTTACCCTACAACTTTGTTGATTATATTCAGCTTATATAGTCATAGAAATTATACACTTCTGCCCAAACTACTGATCCAAGTAAATGAGTAATGTCATTTACAATAATTAAACAAACAATTATGTGAATAATTATAAATGCTAAGATTAACCACATCTTTACTGTTTGAAAGATGCTTAATATTTAGATAGGATAGTCAACACATTGGCATTGGTTGTGTATGTTGAAAACCTGCCTACTAAATAAAATATTAACTATAACTTGTATATTAAAACCACTACCTGATTATGTTTTGCAGTACAGCCTCTCCCTAAAGGTGACCAAGTCCTCAACTTTTCTGATGCTGAGCAGATGGTTGATGATGCAAAGTTAAAGTAAGTCTGTTCTTCACTTTGAAAAATTAATTCATTTACTGCTAAATATATTTATTTATGTAACAAACATTCACTTATGCTTTTGTCCCTGATCACTGAGTTCTGATGTCTCCTCCATACAGGGAAAGTAGAGACGAGGTGTTGGAACATGGTAAGAAATTAGATTTTGTTTTTTTGCTCTCTTTAATACATCATAACTTTTAGAGCTTCTGCTACAATGGATGTGTATGTTTTAAATTGTGGATAAAATACTGATGTCTCTCACTTATTCAGCTTTTACTAGTTTATTTCTACTTTTATAACAATCATAATCTAACAAGGTTGAGTCAAGTCCTCTGGACAGATTCTTCTTTGTTGAAATGTGTCGTCTTTTATCCTAAAGACTTCTTCAGTTTGAGGAGCTGCAACAAACTCAATCTTATAAAAAAAGAAACTTCTCATAGTGGATCAACCAGTTTGGTGGTGACAACCAGAACTAGTTGTTCACGTGCAAAATGAGGACCATCAGCCTAACTGCTATTGACAAAGGGCTGAGTGATACTTGTAGTAACAGCATTATAAGAGGAGGACAGTTGAACATGGAGCCCTTCAACCCTGTTTAATGATGGACAGGTTCTCTTTACAACGATGGCTTCATTTATTCCTCGCTTGAAAAGAGATCCAGAAAGTGGTTACAAGAAAAAGTTGTTGGATTGCCTGCAACATTTGGATCAGGACAAGGCTATTGACCGTATTCTGTACCACAGACTGTACCCAGGGGAGGCCACACCTAGTCTGTACGGTTTACCCAAAATTCACAAACAAGGTGTACCTTTAAGACCAATCGTTAGCACGATTAACTCTGTCACTTATAATGTTTCCAAATATCTGGCGTCTGTACTCATCCCTTTAGTTGGCAGCTCAGAACACCACATACAGAACACCATGGACATTGTGGATAAGGTGAGGGATGTTATCATGGAGACTGATGAAACAATGGTCTCTTTTGATGTCACATCACTCTTTACATGCATTCCTGTTGATGATGCAGAGGTGGTCTGTTTAAGGTTAAAATCAGACACCACTCTGAGCAGCAGGACCAGCTTTCCACAGAACAATGCCTCCCCCTTCTGACACTAGTGGTAACAGCAGGCGTTTTTAAGGATTCAGCTTTAACACACAGCCACATGGTATAACAACAAACAAAACAATCTAGTTTATTTTACAATAAACTAAATGTTTTACACGTTCTGGTTTACTGTGTTCTGTTGTTTACAGAGCTGATGATTTCTGATCGCCACCAGAAAAAAGAGATCAGACAGTTGGAGCAGGAGTTGCCTCGATGGCAGGTTCTTGTGGACAGTATCACAGGTGTGCAAACTGTCATTAAGAACAATCAATCAGGGTCTATGTTTACTTTTTTCTTTTTTTTTTTTTTGGAGTAATTTTGATTTGTGGAGCTCGATTTTAAATTGTTGGGGGGGTTTGTTTCCAGGGATGAGCATGCCTGATTTTGACAATCAGACCCTGGCAGCGTTGCGAGGAAGAATGGTGCGCTACCTCATGAGATCAAGAGAGGTGAGCAAAAAAGCAAGAAGCAGTAAAATAAATTCAACTTTAAATATGTACACTAAATTTAGTTAACTGATGACTTCCAGATTACTTTGGGGAGAGCAACAAAAGACAAACAGATAGATGTGGATCTGTCACTGGAGGGGCCTGCCTGGAAAATATCAAGAAAACAAGGTGATTTAATCTTTATTCTTTAACATTTATAACTTCGTATTTGTTACAGGAAACTTATACTAGGGCTTTAACAGACTACTCGAGTAATCTACACATCGATTCCTAGGACATCTATCAAGTTTTTTAATTTCACGTCGAGTATTCGTGGTGACGTAATTACGTCGCCGTTACGTCATCGTGTCACGTGATCCGCACTGGGCGCGGGTTACAAAATGGATTCCTCCAAGCAGACGGATGGAGCAGAGCAGACCCAGTCTTGGCAAATGGGTAGAAATGCATCAATAGTCTGGAAATATTTCACTAAAGATGAATCTTCCGGTTTAACTACCATAAGGGTCGTCCGCCCCACTGTTTTTTAGTTTCGTTTTTGTCGTGCCGCATGTTTCTTTTACTTTTGCAGCTTAATAATAAAAACTAATAGTTTGGTTTTTCCTGTGACTTATTTGCGGTATGATAAATGGGAGGAGCATAATATATGCTCCCAATGTTTTGGTCTTTTTTTGTAAATAATTACCTTTTTTGCGGGTTTTATTTATTTATTTATTTTTGTATCTTTAGATCCTATGATGTCATCAAGTACTCAAGTTCTACTTGAGTTTTATTATGTTAATGTCGAGTTTAAGAATTATGTAGTCCTCCCCCCACCCCAAGAACATCTGTGGACCTTTATCAGTTCTGAACCGGCTGATAGACACTGTGCCATCTTTTACCAGGACTATGGGACTTTCTGGTAGCGTTCACGGACAGCCTCACTCCCCCCCATGCAAAATGTCTCACTCTATGTTGCTTTGTGCTGAGGTAGTTTTTTGCTAGGACACAGTGTGAGAGATCTTTTTTTACACCTTCTTTCCTCATGTTTTTCTTCACTTATCTAAACGATAAGTGCAGCGCTTCACAACGAAGCTGCAGCCCCCGTGCACTTCCGTCTACCCTTGTTGGGCGGCTGCACTGAAATGTATTTTCGCTGCGCTTAACTGTGCAATGACAATAAAGTTGATTCAGATTCTGGAACAGTTGAAAAGATGGCTTTATTTTCAAACAGCCTTGGTCAGATGCTCCTCTCACTATAGCAGCTGAAGGAAAAATGACACCCGTCTAGTTCACCCGCTTCTCCACCTAAACACGCCTATGAAGTCCTGACCAGTCACACAGGACCTTACATATACCCTGCAAGACGAAGTTCTGCCTGGGGGCAGTACACAAGACGGGGTCTCAGCGTAGAAAGTAGAAAAATATGCAATTTTCAATTCGCGCCTGCGTCAGCGAGACACAAAGTTTTATATCTTGTAGACTATAAATCAGCCTAAACTCTTCCAGCCAGTGGTTTCAAGTGTTTCCTACAGAAAACATCTTTCTGAACTTACGAAACATATAAACCATACCATAAAGACTGTATTTGTTAAAGACGTTATGCTAAATAAATAAACTGCAGTTTTATATATAAAAAAAAGAAAGCGAAAAGTTTTGCAATGACCTCAGGAACTTAAATGTAACCTGACTTCTTGCTCTTACAAAGAGCTCTATGATAACATGTCCTCTAATGAGAGTCACAAGTGTAATTTTTATTTATTTAGTTTTGGCCTTGAAATGAACCGAGTGTTAGACTTGAAGTCTTCTGGCTGTACTTTGTTTCTGAACTTAAAAAAAAAAAAAAGCTTTTAAACCATTACGTCTTGTTCCAACAATCAATTTATTTCAAAAGATTACTTGATTAAATACTAATCTTTCAACACAAAGTAATATTAATTAATAAATCTTAGATGTTTGGCAGCATGGATCATCCTCTAATGAATCACTAATTTGTCTCGACAGGAATAATTAAGCTGAAGAATAATGGAGACTTCTTCATCGCCAACGAGGGCAGACGGCCGATCTACATCGATGGCCGACCGGTCCTGTCGGGGAACAAGTGGAAACTAAACAACAACTCTGTGGTGGAGGTGAGCGCCGCGTGCTCACCCTGATGCAGACGGAACTAGAAAAGTGAGAAACGTCCTGAAAACGTCTTGTCTTTTCAGATCGCAGGTCTTCGCTTTGTGTTTCTAATAAACCTGGAGCTCATCTCTCTGATCAAAGCTGAAGCTGCTAAGATGACGCAGCAGTGAGTGTCGGCTGTGCAGCAGACGGACCGGTCTGCGGGTGGTGTGTGTAACGCTGCGTTTACGACACCACTGAAGCTCAGCTGAGCAGAACTGGACTCATGTTCACCCTCACGTGGGATTAAACAGACCACAGCTAAACCCTGGAACAAAATGGTAACTGCTTTAGTGTGGTGTAAGGATAATTTGTTTTCTAATATAGATACTTTAATTGTAGAGCCACATTGTATTTAAACTCTTACATCAATCCTTTTTAACATAATAAACCTGTATATTCAAAATCCTGATGTTTCTTTAATCAGCTTCTTTGGAGTCGGCTTTCAAAACGTTTCAGTTCTGCAAATTCATAAAACGTGCACGTTTCAAACTGAACTGGTTGGATTATTTAACAGGCAAGTAAATGTACAGAAGTCATCAAAGTTCATGCTCAATAATCCAGGTAAAAAAAATCCAGTCAAGTTCAATCAGGTCATCTGGATGGTTTCTTTTTTTGTTGTTGTTGAGAAGGTTCATCTTTAATCCAAAGGACTTCATCAGTCCGAGGAGCCACCACAAACTCAGTCCCACAAGCAGCACACACATAGTGGACCAACCAGTTTCTTGCAACTTTTGAGCTTGAAACAACATAAAAACGGTTCCGTCTTTGTATCCTCCGCAGTGCTGCTGACTCATATGTCAAGCTGCCTCTCAGCTGAAGGATGACAAGCTTCCAAGAAGCAAAAAAAGCTCCCAGTCATTTTCGTGCAAACATTTAGTGCTGTAAAATTAATCAGTGGGCTTCCTCCCTTCTTTATTCCCAGAAGGCCATGAATCAACACGGTCCAGTGAGCTCAGTGTTGCTGTGGCAACAGTCCTCAGTCCTGTTTTGACCTGAATCCTCCAACACGGCAAAGGCTCAGAGTTGAACAAAGAAAACGGGCGATACTGAGCTGCAGTTTACAAAACAGCTGCTAAACCTGGACACGGTCTTCTCGTTTTTATCTCAAATATGTGTTGGTTTGAGTTACTCAACTTTCTGACATTGACACAGTCAGGACCTGCAGCTTTAGTGTTGGATGAACGAAACTGTGAACTGGCAAAAAGAGTCACCATGAGGGATTTTTACTTTCAAACCCTCCGTCTTAAAAGCTTCAAAATGACGCAGTTTATTGAAATTTGTTGAATTATCTTCTCGCCTAGTTTTGTTCATGGGAGTGCAGGTTTGCAAACTTGATTTTTATTGGTCTGGAGTTGTCACTGGGAATTTGACCTATTTTTGAAAAGGAAAATCTTCAAGGTTCACTATGACCCCAGACATTATACAAAGGGATTTCCCAGTTTTACAGCAGCCAGCGGAGAAAAAGAGTCAAATGTAGAGGAAATTTAGAGGATTTGAGCTAAAAGGAACATTTCTGAAGCCGGCCCTGTCAGAAAACTTATATTTAAATGTAGTTTTATGTAATTATAGTTACTGAGATTGCAAGATTGTCTTTACAGACACTTTATGAACATTTTAATTTCAAAAGTCTATATTTTTACTTATTTTCCACTGCAGCCGGAGATTATTCTGACTTTTTTTTTTTCCTTTGACCAGCATGGGTCACATGAGTTCCTTTCTTCATATATATTTTTTTTACAATTTATACATTATCATAAACACTTTATCATAAACACTTTATGTAACTGAAGAGCGATTTCATCCAGTCAAAGAGCAAAATAAAGAGGGAGAATAGTAACACAAAGTGCATCCATTTAAGCTTATTATCATTTCTAGGTCGTTGTCTGGTGTGAGTTAAGATTTGTTTTGTGTGTTTATTCCAACAGTAGCTCTGACAGATAAGGAGCTGCGCTCCAGCTCCGTTCTTGTCCCTTTTTTTTCTATGGCTGTCGGATATATAATGTAGACTGAAGAGTCCTGGCCTGACATTGCTCTTCTGTGCTGGTCCATCCTTTTGGCCAGTGGCTGTTTAGTTTCCCCGATGTAAGACTGATCACAGATCTCCTGACACTGAACAGCATACATGATAGTAATCTGTTTGTGCCGAGGGACTGGATCTTTGGGATGGACCAGTCCTTGTCATAATATAAAGCCACTGGGATGTCACATGTAGAAAGTAGATGTCTCAATTTCTCTGAAACTCCCGCAACATACAGAATGAGCACTGGTCTGGGTTCCTCACCTGATGGCTGGCTGGAGTCCAGTTTGGTTTTATATAATAAACTGTGGTAAATGGTATAATAATGGTTTTATAATAATAGAGATTTGAGTTTTAAAAAAGAGTCCATAAAGACATGATCTTGAGATACCGGTAAGTTATCATAACATTGTTTTAAAATAGCTACCTTTAAATTAAAGTTTTTTATCTCTTAAGAAGAAAAAATAAACAGCTTCAGATTTCTTTCAAATTGACCAATTTCCTCTGTGCTTGCCGTAGTGCCAGGAAATTCCTTCATTAAATTTTTAAAATATGACTGGAATTTATATCAACATCACTCTACACCAAAAAAAATTAAAAAACCTTTTTTGTATTTAAACAGGCACTTTTTTTTATATAAACGAACCATTGCCTGGTAATAAATCACCAACTTTCAAGAAACTATCATTTTGAAGCTTTTTAGGTGGAAAATTGGAAAACATTAAATCAATACTGGATATTTCCTCACTGTGATCCAGTGTTACCATCATCTAATATTAATCTAATTCACTGAATATCCATCACATTTGGATCAGCAAAATGACTTTGTATCCTGTCCATCAGCCATAACATGTTTTAGCTCAAACCACGCCCACCCGAGCTAGCTGCGTCGTCAGCGCGGTTGCAAACAGTGCGCATGCGCACAGAGCTCAGCTGCTCTTACGTAGCACGTTGGTGTAGCGCTCAGTTTGGTTCGGTGGCGCATCGCTGAAATCATCTGGGTCCAAGCGGAAAACCGACTGATTCCAAAGAAGTAAGTAGACTCCTGGAGAAGAAGCGGGAGCAGATGTTTATTTATTTTTTATTTCTTGTTTATGAATAAACGTGAAAGCCAAGTTAAACGTTAGCTTTAGCCATGTGAGTGATGCACACAGACTGCATGATGTTAGCTAGCTTACACTTCTTTAAACTCCTGAAATATTAAAAAAAGAGTTTGGGACAAAGGTGAAAATGTCTGAATCATAAGAGCTCATATTGTGTCTGACTTTCTGTGGTTATATTTTGTGTAAATTGTTTGAATGAAGGCTAGCAGGATTAATATCCTCCGTTTTTCTGATCAGTCTTCTGTCACAAAAACGTCTTTCTACCTTCATGTCAGTGTGGACAGACTTTAAAAGTTATTTAGAATAAAGTTAAATATCAACATTAGCTTAGAAGAAAGTGAGGTCTTTCTAAAGTGGAGCTAAATATAGACAGAAACTTGACCATTGCTCACAGCCTGGTTTCAAGTATTTTTATATAAGGATATCACAATAATAATTAATCATATATACTGTTTTTGATATAAAGTGGTAAACAGAAACATTATATCTGTGTTTTTGTTTGAGTGATATTGACATTAATATGTCATAGGATACAAAAGATAAAGAAATGCCTTTTTAATGCTTTTAAAATGTTTAGGGGAAACATGGATTGATATCACCGTCACTTCCTATTTATTAAAACAAACAAATCCTGTTAGTACCAAATATCTAATCAGTTATGTTGGTGTAATATTATTAAATCAAATATGCCAGTGTTTACAGAAATAGAATTAATTAACGACATGAATGTGTGCCTCAATGTTTTCTGATCTAAACAATTATGGAAATAAAAGTGCTTAAAGTGGGACATATGTTTATCTGCTGTGTCTGTCCGACCAGAGAATAATTTGATGAAGTTAAACAGCTTCTTTTAGATGATATAATTTGGTGTTCATTGTATTTTGTAGTATATGAACAACATTTTGATGCAGTGTGCATATATAACGAGCTGCCACCTTTAAAACGAGTTTGTTGGAGAATGGAGAAATCCTCGTTCCTTGGGCTTTTCTAAAAACTTGGAGCATCAGCTCAGCTGTAGTTTTTCTCCCTGCCTCTGATCTATGAAGCTTTTTTTCTTCTTCCTGAAATATTTACTCTGGTTTGAGTTGAGTCAATGGTTCAGGGCTGTTTAACCTATAAAACCAGACAAATGTATCACCAGCACAGAGTTACACCCAGTTTCACACCAACCATACTCAAACCTCAATCACTGCAGTGCAACGCTCAGACTTGTAGTTTTATTCTAAAGAAGACAAATTCTGTGATTATGGCGCCTGAAAAACAACTCGTCCTGAGCTGCAGATTGAAAAACTCTGTTAGAAGTGAATAATAAGGTACAGGTGTAGTTGTGTTTGTATAGTGAGATATATACGTGACTTTAAAAATACTCTCTTCATGGCAGTGACGTAAGTCAGGATGTCCTAACAGGGTTAAATATCAGAAAGTTTGCTTAGCTTTACTGCAGTCAGATGATCCACAGATGATCTCCTTATCAGGCTACCCTGCTGTGAAGCTGACATTTCAAAGGCCGAAACGTGTTGAGTCGTTTGTCGAATTGTTCCGAATGAGAACTTGGTACTAACGAGTTGAAAAGGGCTGGGTTGGGCAGAGAGTAGCTGACCTGGACCCCGTGATGAGCAAAGGTTGGATCTTCTCCTCGCTGTGAGCCTTTTTGTGTTGGAGTCCAGGCCTGTTCGCTGTGTGTCATCTCCTCTTCCTTCTGCTCATTTTGATGTTGATGTTTTTCTTTAGTACGTAACACTAGACAACAAAAGCTTTAAAACATGTGTTTCATAAACGTTCTATGAAGTTTTAAAATTGTTCTTCCAGTAGACATGCTGTAACAGGGATCTAACTTTTATGTCAAAACGTGGATGTTAAAGTGTCAGATTCATTATCATTCCTCTTTTTAATCTTGTTATTGCCCTCCGCCGAAGGTGAAAGGAGATAATGTTTTTGTTTTGTTTTTTGTCTGCAGAGTCAGTAAACTAATTCATGAATGACGTGAACAGTTTTTAATGAAACTGTCAGAAACTAATCACTGGGTTGACATCTACGACTTATTACCTTTCAGAGCAATAGTAGTCCCTTGATACTTTGCGGTTCGATTTTTGCGGCCTCACTCTTTCACGGGTTTTCAACGTAAGATTGTACACATTGTTTCCTGGTGGCCTGGCCCGCTCAGTGATTACCGAAGGGCCCCCTCCTTTCTCTTTCTGAGGCTGTCTGTCACATCAGAGCAGAAAAGCACAACAGGCGGGTGCACATCCTGTGCCAAACAGCCTCAGAAAAAGAAAGTAGGGGGCGGGGTCTGTGTTTCCCAATTGCTGCTGTGGGAGCTTCAGTGAGGCGGATACCAGAGTGAGCGCTATGGATCGTTTATTTAAAATAATCAAGCGAGACTTGAACCAAGCCTGAACCCGAGCCGAGCTGATTCGACTCGAACCGAGCTGGGACATTTCTCAAACCAGGAAATATCCCAGTGCTCCTGATGGCCAGTCCGCCCCCAGGCGCTGATTGGCTCAGTAACCGTAGCATCAGTCTATCTGCTCTCTTTTGCTCTGCCTTTTTAGAGCATTTAGAACATTTTTAAGAACATTGCAAGAGTATGGGAAGGCTTATAAAGCCTTAAAAAAAAATCAAAATAAATAAATATATATATATACACACACACAAACCGGATTCCAAAAAAGTTGAGACACTAAACAAATTGTGAATAAAAACTGAATGCAATGATGTGGAGGTGCCAACATCTAATATTTTATTCAGAATAGAACACAAATCACAGATCAAAAGTTTAAACTGAGAGGATGTATCATTTTAAGGGAAAAATCTGTTGTTTCTAAATTTCATGGTGTCAACAAATCCCAAAAAAGTTGGGACAAGTCCATTTTTACCACTGTGTGGCATCCCCCCTTCTTCTTACAACACTCAACAGACGTCTGGGGACAGAGGAGACCAGTTTCTCAAGTTTAGAAATAGGAATGCTCTCCCATTCATGCCTAATACAGGCCTCTAAGGGTGCATTCACACCAGCCCTGTTTAGTCAGCTTTAATCGAACTCTAGCTCGTTTTCCTAGAAAGTCCGGTTCGTTTAGGGAGGTGTGAACGTGCCATCGAACTCTGTCACAGAACAAAAAGGCGAACTCTGGCCCGGGCTAAAACCTAAGTCTCAGTCCGGTAGAAGCGAACTCCAGTGCAGTTCGAGTACAGTGTGAATGTAAACGGACCGGGCCCCGCTCCGCAGGACAAACAAACATGCATTTCTCTGACCTTATATGGAGCCGTCAGCTGCCTTGTGTGGAAAAACAATATTCTCCATGGTCTTCTGTCTCATCTTCTGCTCATGCTAAGTCCATTTTTGAAAAATGACAAAATATAACTCCTAAAACTGCTAAAACTTGACGCCACTTCGTTTTTATTTTTATTTCCAGAAGAAGAAGACGTGTCTTCAGAGGTTTTTGTGTCGTTTCTTTCAGTAGTTCTTGGTGCAGCGCCCCCACAGGCGAGTGGGGGAACAGGTTGGTTCAACAGGTTGACTCGACTGCACAGTGCAGTGTGAATGCAAACGCACCAGCTCAAATGTAAACAAAATGTCGTGAATATTGGTCCCCAACCGAACCGAGTCTACCGGACTATCTGGTGTGAAAACCTAACTGTTCAATCGTCTTGGGCCTTCTTTGTCGCACCTTCGTCTTTATAATGCACCAAATGTTCTCTATAGGTGAAAGATCTGGACTGCAGGCTGGCCATTTCAGAACCCGGATCCTTCTCCTACGTAGCCATGATGTTGTGATTGCTGCAGAATGTGGTCTGGCATTATCGTGTTGAAAAATGCAGGGTCTTCCCTGAAAGAGATGACGTCTAGTTGGGAGCATATGTTGTTCTAGAACCTGAACATAGTTCTCTGCATTAATGGTGCCTTTCCAGACATGCAAGCTGCCCATGCCACAAGCGCTCATGCAACCCCATACCATCAGTGATGCAGGCTTCTGAACGGAGTGTTGATAACAACTTGGGCTATCCTTGTCCTCTCTGGTCCGGATGACATGGCGTCCCAGTGTATCATAAAGAACATTTACTCAGATTAAACTTTTGATCTGTCATCTATGTTATATTACGAATAAAATATTGACATTTGCCATCTCCACATCATTGCATTCAGTTTTTATTCACAATTTGTTTAGTGTCCCAACTTTTTTGGAATCCGGTTTGCATGTATATATATTATAATGTCCTTACTTAGTGGATTTTCACCTACCGTGGGGGTGTCTGGGACGTGATAAGTGAGGGACTATTGTAATCGAATTAAAGATGGCCACTACAGCTAAATAATCTTAGCCATCACAAAAGTCCATTTTACAGATATTAGCTAAAATTTGGCATCTTAACTGAGACTGATCCCTAGCTTGTACTCTGAGCACAATCTGATTGTGAGGTCTGTTTTTTAAAACTATGTCTTTAACGGTTAAAGCTTTTTTGCAAAATATTGCATAAAACAATGAGCATATTTTAGTAAAACTGTCAAAAAGGAGTCAACTCGATGCAAGACGTTCGCCACAGCCACTCAAACTTAGCCAACATAAAGTGGCTGAGACTTACAGATACTGAGCTAAAATTTGGTATAACACATTCACAGAGCGCCAAGACGACTTTCAAAATTTCACAGTGTCTCACATCGTCATTTACAGGGTTTAACCCAAACAGCTGTAATTCTTGTTTTTGTCTCTGCATGAAATGATCTTATTTTAAAACTCTGGCAGAGCTGAGTTATTCATTCCTTCAGGGGATGCTAGGCATTAAATTTGTATTGTAATCTTGCCTTGGACTGGATTATTTGTCAGTGTGTGAGATTGGTAATTCTAAATTGTCCCTAGGTGTGAGTGAGAGAGTGAATGGTTGTTTGTCTCGTTTGTCTTCATGTGTCCCTGTGATGGACTTGCGATCTGTCCAGGGTGTCCCCCGCCTCTCGCGCAGTGACTGCTGGACATGGGCACCAGCGACCTGAAAAGGAAGAAGCGGGTAAAAGATAATGGATTAAATAAAAGCAAAACATAAAAGTGGCTTATCTGCAGACAGGCTTGCTGTTTAAAGATAACCCCGACTAATCTAAATGGCCTCTGCAGACGGCGATAAGACGGTTGTAATTGTCTAATAAAGCAGAGCTACTTTTTAAGCTGTCACTTTATGAAGGACCTGATAAGTTTTACTAGCTGAGTTTCTGCTTCTTGTGCTTTTGTCTTTTTACTGTTAAAAGAAAACTACTGTAAACCGGCTCTTCTTCCAGTGAGTCCCACTCGTAAACGTTTTGCTCTGGTCATTTCAGGTGAGAAATGTGAACTCTGTCACGGAGGACAAACTCACAGTTAATGACACTTTCCACTGAGTGGTGACGTGTTTAATTAATGGGTCTTTGTTACGTTTGTGTTTACTGTTAATGACCTCACACTGAAGCTGGGGGACTCCTCTTCACTCCCCCGCAGCTGATTGGCTGCTTGCAAGATTGAAGTCACTGCTGATTGGTCGATTGAGTAGGAGGTAAAAGTTTAAAGGGTCAGTTTGGTTAAAATCACACATTTGTTGTAGAGATTGAGAAAACCTGGCTTATATCACAAGATGTATTTGACATGAAGAAATTTAATATTTTCCTTGAGTTTCTTGAAAATACAAATATATATTTTTTAGAAAGTTAAATTAATTTAATTTAGTAGGAAAAATAAAATTGTTAGATGCTGATGTTTAGTGATGAAAGGCTTGTTCCTTTTTTCCACTTCAGACTTGTGTAACTAATTACATTAGGTTGAATTTGTTATTCCTTAATCTTCTGTAGCCTCTGGATGGTGATATATTGCTCCTAACACAGATTATTATAAAACAAAATCTGGATTAGGTTGTGTTCATAATGAGTTTCTGCTCATTCGCTAATATTTACCTTAGTTTTTGAGCAATATTTGACATTTAAATATGGTTCATGTGCTTTTTTTTTCTTCATTTGATTTAATTTTAAACAAAATTTCAAGTAATCTCCATTATTTATAAAAATAGGTTATTTTTAGTTGATACACAAGACAGTGCATTGCACTTTTCCTGTGAAGTGTGGGACACCCACTGCTCCCCTTAAATCTCTGGCCCCTCAACATCATAAGTCCCATTTTAACTCCTGGTTAAAAGTATGTGTGTATCATGTTTAAAATAGGTTTTATCTTTTTAACATACAGTGCATCAAACTGGAAATATGTAGTTCAGAGTAAAATAACTTATTGATTCAGCTTCACATTCTGGAAACAGTTGAATTATTTCACTGCTCATCTTTCCACGTGGCCATCAGCGAATCTAATGTTTGTTTAATGTTTTTCTTTCAGATTCACATCTTTCCAGAACATCAATGCAATGCTGCTTCTCAAATGCTGTCACAGTCTGACACGATGTGGGCTTGTCAGCACTCAAAGGTACAAAACCAGAACTGGATAATGCTGTTTCATGTGCTTCATGGGGTTTTGTGTGTAGTACTTATTTGTTCTTTTCTCACCTTTTAAAAAAAAGTGTGTTTTGGTGATTATCTCAAATGATTTGAGCACAACTGAACTGTGATGTCCCGTCGCTTTTTAAAATTTACAGACCTCATTTGCTTTAGAAACACAGCTGACTCATTAGGCATAGATCATATTCAGTATACACTGAGGTTGGTTTTATTTGATTAAATATAAAATGATTTTTCTGTCAGACATAAGGTGGCGCCTGCTGTGGTATCGTGTGCACTTCGTCTCTGCAGCAGCAGCAGCACTGAGGACCTGGGATTGTCCCAGCGTACAAACTGGAAACACATCTTGGCAGGTCTGCTGGCTGGTACAGGAGCTGTGCTGGCTTGTGGTCTGCACCACCACAAGGTTTGGAACAGATTTCATATTTAAAACCACAATTTCTTTTTTATTGTGCCAAGGCTAAATTTATCAATTATTTTTATTTGCTTTACAGCTCATTTGAAATCACACACCCTTATGATTAAAGGAAATTAACTTTCCCCAAACAGAAAATTCAGAGACTTAAATGAAACATGAACTCTCATCGTGCTGCTTGTTAATTAAAAGCCATCTGGCATGGTCAGAATTGGGGCTGCTGGTTCCACAGTTGTATGGGATGTTACATACTCGAGATATTAAAGTAAAACCCTTGTTGACATTCTTTATCATTATTTTTACAACGGATCCCAAAATTGATGTTTTCTCTGTTCTTGTTCAGGCTGAGCAAGCAGACGTTAGAGTGTCGACGTGTCCCGTCTTCAGCCACGATGAAGTCACAAAGCACCGCACTCTGGAAGATGGAGTGTGGGTCACTTACAAAGGCAGCGTCTACGACATCACTGAGTTTGTGGCGATGCACCCTGGGGGGAATAAAATCCTGCTGGCAGCAGGTGGAGCTCTTGAACCTTTTTGGGCTCTGTATGCCGTACACAACCAGGAACACGTGCTGGAAATCCTCTCACAGTACAAGGTTGGACTTCTGTTTTATGTCCCGATGCATGCGCAATAATCCAGGTAGATTAATCTAACAAGGTTGAGTCATGTCCTCTGGACAAGTTCTTTGTTGTAACATTGTGTCTTTTATCTAAAGACTTCTTCAGTCTGAGGAGCTGAAACAAACTCAGCACCTTCTCACAGTGGATCAAACAGTTTGCTGGTGACAGCCAGAACTAGCTGTTCACATGTAAAAGGAGGACCATCAGCCTAATGACCGATCGTTAGTGCCCTTGCTGTTCACAGAGGGCTGAGTGATACTTGCAATAATAGCATTGTAAGGGGGTGACAGCCAGGCTTAGGTGGCGTAGAGCTGTCGCCTCTCAGCAAGAAGGTTGCCGGATTGAATCCCGGCCGGGAGCATTTCTGGGTGGAGTTTGCATGCTCTCTCATATTCCAGCTTCCTCCCACAGACCAAAGACATGCATGTTGGACGGGCCAACCAATGTTAAACAGGGGCGGAGGCCAAAGTTTTTGATCCATTATGAGAAGATGCTATTTATAAGACTGAGTTTGTTGCAGCTCCTCAGACTGAAGAAGTCTTTTGGATAAAAGACGAAACGTTTCAACAAAGAAGAATCAGTCCTGACTCAATCTTGTTAGACTTCTGTTTTATCTTTTTGGTTGAACAAAAACACACAATTAATTTTTAATTTTTTTTGTCTGTTAAATCAGTGCAATTGATGAACAAGAAGTTGAATATCTGAACCAAAAACACGCTCTGGAACAGATTTAAGCGCAATAAATTCATTTTTTCTAACCATTTAATCAACAGATGATGCACAGCTTTTATATAAACATCTGCAGGGAAACTATAGGTCCTAAATGTCAACCATTAATCACTTAAATATGACATTTGACAAGAATAAAACCATGTCATCAATGTGTATGCCCTTCTTGCTTTGCTTATCCTAAAGATTTATGGGATAATATAACTCAGAAAATCTGAAATCTCTTAGAAAAAGAAAAAAAAAGTCATGTTTAACCAGTTTGTTTGTTGCAAAAGTACATAAGTTACCTAGAGGAGGTTAAACAACCATTTAAAACTTTACAGGCTGTTTAATAACCAGATCTATTGTATTTATTTATCAGAAAATGCTTTGCTGAGGAAAACTAGAATTAAAATAATAGCACAAGATGCATAAATGCCTCCCAAGTTCAGTTAAGTGTTTTAGCTCTTTAACCTGTTTGCACAAACAAAATACAAATTGCCACACAATCCTGTGTATCTGGCCTTTAAATCCAGTAAATGTGTAGTGTCTTGATGAAAAAAAGAGCTTGGACTTGTCTTGTTTCAGCTGAACGGTGGTAATTTATCTGTTAAATTTCTCCTTAAAGGAACTTCTCACTTATTGCTGTCTGCCTGTCTTGGTCAGCTCGTATGAAAAGGTCTGCTGGATACTGTAAACTGGAACATCTGCAGGCTTCGTACTGGCACCTTCTCAAAATAGAACGGGGGAAAGTACTTGAACTCAGGTTTTAGTCATTAAATTCAGTTGGTAAGACCTGAAGTGTCTTTAGAACAAGGGCACAGACACGTAAATGTACATTACCTTATTTGTATTATTTTTTAAAGTTAATAAGGAAGCTTAGCTGGAAATATATTTTTGATGTACGAGTCCGTTTTCTGGGCTGATTCTGATGTTGGCTTTTTATTTCTTTTGTAATTTATTTATTTATTTATGATTTTTCACATGAACGTAAACAGTGGCTCAGACACATGCACAATTTGCCAGTTGGACAACAACGTTTCTGAAATAGAGACTTAAAGATAGCAGTGACTGGAGCATGAATTAGCTCATCAATCTACAAATTTGTACCTTAGCCTCCTCCAGGTGAGCGAGAAATGGATTCCAAGCATTCACAAAAGTTCTCATTGAGCAAATCCTTAAAGATCTGACTCTTTCTATTTGTATTAATGACATCATGTCAGTTACCAACACTTTCATTCCTTTAAAAATTGTCTTTTGGCAACAATCGTTCCTAGCTCCAGATGTTGCTGCATTTTTATTTCACCTTTATTTAACCAGGCATAAACACTGAGAACAAATTCTTATTTACAGTGCTGGCCTGACGAGCACCAACAGGCACTTGTAGGGTCAAGGGAAAGGAAACGATACAGTTAGACAAAACAATCAAATACAGTAGCCAATAACAAACAAGGAATCACAAATTACATTAACAGTTCATTGTCAAAGTTAAACGACAAGAGAACTAAGCATAAAAACACTTGCAAGTGTCTTTAAAACCACTTTTAAACTATTTTTGAGAGTAGAAACTGAGACAAGGGGGGTCAGACCCAAAGTTTTTTGATGGAGCAGCAGAGGCCAAAGAGCATGAACGCAGGGAGATCCTTGATTGTCCTCGAGATGCCAAAAATGGCGAGTCCTGCATCAGGTTGAAGAGGTTCCTCGTAAGCTTTAGAACACCAGTGGAATATTTTAAACCAGAAACCAGTTAATGGAGCAGGACCATAAAGCATGAGACAATGATGATCTTCACCTGCCGCAGATCGGTGAGGCAGAGAGGAAGATCTTATGCAGCCTGGCTTTAGAATAATGTAAACGATGGGCACTCTTAAAGAGTTGAAGTCTGTGTTTACTGAGAAAGAATGGATTTTAGACGAGCGCTCGTCCCACAGGCAGTTTCATACCCAACTCCTCCGACCAAACAGCCGTAGTTTTCTCAGTATGTGCTGTTCTACAATCATCAAGCAAATGCACAATTTTAAAAATTAGGTGCCTGGAGTCAGCTGGGCTTTTAAAGACTTTATAAATCCCACGTTCTGCTGGTTGATGATCAGAATGTCTTGTTTAAGATTGAATATAATGCCTAACGTGTAAATACCTTTAAAAAAAATATATATTTTTTAAGAACTATAATTAACAACAGAAATGTTTGTTCTACTTCTAGTTGAATATTAAAATTTGTCTGTGTTCAAAATGAGGTATTTACTTAAAAAAAAAAAAAACATAGATTCTTGTCTTTGGACATGTTAAAACCATGAGCATTAAACGGTTTGTTGACGGGGTGGGTTCCCTCGTTACGTTCCCTGCTCTGGTTCTCTGGTGGAGATGGACTGCCAGCTTCTGGGCTCAACTCTTTGCAGCACCTTCTTGTCAGCTCCAGAGCGTTGTCGTACCAGACAGGTACACTCGAAGATCAGGACACTCCCATCTCACACGGATTAACAAGAACTGCTTCAACCTTCATATAAAATACAGATAGCGGCTGTGTTTGAGACCCATGTGAGGTCACTGGACAGATATCAAAGGATGTATAAAATGTCAAAGCAGCAAAGATATGGAGTCTTCTCTGTCACTTGGAATTTACAAATAATGTCCTCCAGGATTTTGGAAAGAGAGATTTCAGCTAATCATCTAAGTTGAAATAAATATAGTGTCTTATTTAAAAGACAGATTTTTAAATAGTTTTGTTTGTTTTTGCACAACATGAAAGAGCACCGTATCGCACAATAACTTCTTTTTTCAACAAAACCTCCATTTAAAATATATTCCTGCAGTGTCTCACATGTTATTTGATGAAACTTCTGTTTAATTCAAGGTTGGTGAGCTGAGCGAAGAAGACCAGAAGAAGCAGCGTGTTGCTGAACAAACGGACCCCTTCGCTTCTGATCCCGAGCGTCACCCCGTCCTGCACGTCAACACCCACAAGCCCTTCAATGGCGAGCCGCCTCCCGAGATCCTCTCGGACAGCTACATCACTCCCTCTACTTTCTTCTTCAAAAGAAACCACCTGCCCGTTCCTCAGGTGGACCCAGCTTCATATCGGCTTCAGGTGGAGGGTCTGCCTGGGGGAGTTCTGACTCTGTCTTTAGAGGACCTGAAGACCAAGTTCCCCAAACACACAATCACTGCGGCCCTGCAGTGTGCAGGTAACCGCCGCAGGGATATGAATAAGGTGAAGGTGGTGCAAGGTCTGAATTGGGGCATAGCTGCCATCGGTAATGCCAAATGGAGCGGTGCCAGGCTCAGGGACGTGCTTCTGGCTGCTGGTTTTGGCCCAGATGTGGCCCAGTGGGCTCGCCACGTTCATTTTGAAGGACTGGATAAAGATGTGACGGGGACTGCCTACGGTTCTTCAATTCCTCTGAGCAAGGCCGTCGGCGAGGAGGGGGATGTGCTTTTGGCATACGAGATGAACGACGAGGAAATTCCCCGCGACCACGGCTTCCCAGTGCGGGTCGTGGTGCCAGGCGTAGTGGGGGCACGCAACGTGAAGTGGCTGGGTAGGATCGTGGTCAGCGCGGAGGAAAGCGACAGCCACTGGCAGCAGCGTGACTACAAAGGCTTCTCCCCTGGGGCTGACTGGGACCACGTGGACTTTAAATCTTCTCCGGCCATCCAGGAGCTGCCAATCCAGTCCGCCATCACCGTCCCGGCAGATGGAGCCGTGATCGACCGCAGCGACGAAACGCTAACGGTGATGGGCTACGCGTGGAGCGGCGGGGGCAGGGAGGTGGTGCGTGTGGATGTCTCTCTGGACGGAGGTAAGACGTGGCAGGTGGCTGAGCTAAGGAGCGGTGAGAAGGGACAAGCTCCCGAGCCGCCTCCTCCACCGGGTCGAGCTTGGGCTTGGAAGCTGTGGGAAATAACCGCTCCTCTTCCTCCTGAGGCTCAGGAGCTGGAGATAACTTGTAAAGCTGTTGACAGCAGCTACAACGTGCAGCCGGACACAGTTCCTCCAATCTGGAACTTGAGAGGTTTGCTGAGTAACGCCTGGCACAGAGTGAAGGTCCGGGTCACAGACGACTAGAACCAGGTTCAGTTTCAGTCTTTGATGTGTAAAACTGAGTCGTCATCAAGAAACTTTGTCTTAAATCTGTCTGAGAGGGAAACGAACAGGAAACTGCTTAGTTGTGTTAAGTATTTGTGATCCTGTTCCTGAGATTTTATAAATCTACGGAGGTACATGAGACAAAGCTGAAGGTTTTAAACGGATGAACCAAACAAAGGGTGAACATGTCTGCACTCAGTTCAGAGTGAACATGTGGTTCTGACAATGCTGCATTTTTGCAGTGCACAGAAAAAACATTTACTTTTGTCTTTTCTTGGACTAGATTTAAGTAACTTCTTTACACACTGAATCAATGTAAAGATTAATTTTACAAACTAGGATTTGCATATTAGGGGCGCTACATTAAATCAAGGTTTTTAATGAAGGAGTCAATTTACTTAGAAAAGCCAAACACTAAGACTACACTAGAACACACACAAAAAAATCACTTAAAATGAAGTCATTTCAAACTTTAATTTTTTTTTATCAGTAAATTCTACAATGTACAAGTTGAGATGATTGTTTACATTTTATTTCAAAGTATTTATAAGTAACTTAAACGTTTCTGTCTGTAACTGAGTATTTGACCTCTCACTGATGTGTCGACTTCAGTATCCAGACTCCTTCATGCTCCTGTCCTCCACCGTTGGAGGATATAACGTAATAAACTCATTCAGTTGTGTTTATGAGCACATCAAACACATTTTACGTATCGTAGTTTAGACGTTTTCAGCGTGAGCCGTGTTTCACCTCATGCTCTGATGTTCGAAGAGAACGGACAAATCGATGACTTGGAGAGAAAGAGGATAAAAGTAAGCAATACAAACGGAGACGTAGAGGAAATAATAAACGAGGTCAAATTAACGGTATAGATGTTTAAATTTGACGTATTTTGACTTGGTTTGAACTTTTCCAGCAGAAAGTTTTAAAGAAACTGGAAGTACATATTATAGTCTGGAGACGTTCAAGTCATCCCGATCGCTGCTGATTTGTCGCATCAACTTTTCTTTAAGCGCACAAAGATTATGTGATGCGTTTTGAATTTCGGGATACTGTAAGCAATGAGGAGTTCTAAATTTACACCGAGGTCCTTCTGCTGGTTCTGTCGCAGCTGGGTGCGAAGCCGAAGACGTGCCAGTGCAGCGCAGAGCAGCGCTCGCTTGGCATCATTTGATCTGCCTTCAGATCAGCTGCACAGAACTGACAAGTAAATGATGGTTTTCACAGTTTCATGGAGGCAAGTGGAATCTGAGCGTTTTCCTTCAATCTTGATCACCTTAAGTTTTTTTTTTTTTTTACTTCATGCTAGTTTAAAATAATGCTAGAAAGAGATTTATCAAGCCCCTGAAGACATTTGTTTTCTGAACATCTTGATATGTGGTTATGGGAGTTTTAAAAAGTATTTATATATTTTAAACAGTGTTGTAAAGTGCAAACTAAGATACTACATGTGAACGATGAGTATTTCCGTAATGAATGACCAGAGCTGTATGTTGTATGTTATTGAATATTTAAATCTGAAAAGAAGGTAGTCCAGATGTTTTATTTTTCTGCAATATATTCTGTGACTGGAAAAGACTTGAGTAGCACAATAAAATCTGGTGTCTTTCAGGAAGTTTCATTATGGCTCTGTAAATTCAGAGAATTTTGCTCAAAGGTTATGGCTGTTTTTATTACTATGGCTGAGAACAAGACGTAATCGAAACTGTCTCTCAAGACGCTACCTTATCTCTGCCCATGAACCATATGTTTGGGTTAACAGAGAGCGCTAGTTGCAGCTTCAGCCAAGGACAACTCCTGAGCTCTGAACTCGGCTGAACTGATGAGGCTATAAAAGCGAGCGGATAACGCAGCTCGAGGCAGATTCTTGTGACTGGTCTTCATGTGTACATGTATGTATATTTATGTAAACTGTCCTGGAAAATCTGGCCTTGCAAGTAAATGCTGGTTAAAAACCGAGTGTGGTTCTTTTTGGGTAAACGACGCAAGTGTGAGTATTTTCCTCCAGACTTGAGCAGCTGTAGGTCTGAAGATAACCCGCTCCATGTGAACATTTACTCTGACGTCCATGTGTGTTTGGGTTCTACTTATTAAGAATTAAAGCAAGATGACAAATAAGTTAGCAATAACTTCAAATCTAATATGAACATTGTTCAGATATAAACATCTGCGTGACCCTCTCAAAACCTCTCAAATGACTACCAAGAAGCAAAATGTCCTCCCACGTCTTACTCCCTGCATTTTGTGCTGCCAATAAACCGTCATAACAGTGACGAGCACAAGAAGTATAAAGATTGCGCTCTAAGTCAGCAAGTGTGTCACAGTGGTGGTAAACTCAAACGTGCACATTTGTCCAGCGGTTCCTGAGACATTTTGGGGACAGACATAAACGGGGACACGGGCAAACCATGATTTCTCTGCCTTTGCCTTTCATGACAGGTGATAATTATGATCATGGCCTAATAGCATGTTTTTTATTTATCTTCTTTTAAAAATATTTTAAGATCTGTTGGTAGTACTTTAGGGCTGTACAACACAAACCATGAACTCTCGTCTTGACTTCTTCTGGTAGTCTGGCTAATACTCTCGTATTTACACCTCTGCATGTCTAATATCAGAACTTTCTGTGACCACATCTGTGTTTGATCATCTGTAAAACTGCACACTGGTGACGCGATGAACTGTAAACGTCATTTGGACCCACTTTGGGCATCAGAAATTCAGATTTATGGGTGCAAACAGAACGCCTCATTATTTAAAGACTGAGGGCCGGATAGGGAGGCGTCCGAGGGCTGTTTCTGGTCGCCGGGCCTCATTTTGCTCGTGTGAACTAAATACTCACAGATTGTGAAAGACAAAATGTTCCAACACGAGATGACATATTCACAAACACTCACATGAAAATATATCTACGTCTACAGATGGAAACACTGGTGGAAACCAAACATTATACAACTTAATGGGATTTCTAACATGCTTCAGTACATCGGCTCCATTAAAGTAAAAAAAGGTGTTGCCACCTGTGCTTTGATTCAGAAAGAATAGATGCTTATTTTGTCTTCTGAAGTCATAAGCTTGCTTAAAATAGCATTAGCCAAAAGTTTATTGAAGATTTGCCTGTTTTATGTTTAAGCTTCACAAGAGCAGTATACGGTAAATTAACACAACTGACGTTTTTAGAGTTGTTTTTTTCGCGTCGGTCTGCTATATCAGATGTTTTCAATTTTAATGTGAAGAAGTGGAAACTCACCCTGCTCTGGTTAATGTTGCACAAGAGCAGTGGGTGAGTTTCCCCTATCAGTACAGTATAGATATACTATCAGTATACTTTAATACTGATAGTTCTAACTTTTCGGCTCAGTTGAAAACCTAAACGTGTGTTTTCTGATGACAGGAATGTGGAGACGAGCCTCATCCTGTGGTTTTAAACCCACTTTTAATCTGTGATTAAAACCAGGCATGCGAGAGAATAAACAAAATGTCTGATCATGGCGTTGGAATGGTGTTGTTCAGAAAGCAGGCCCTCACTTCAGTAACTTAACGAAGCTCAACCAGTTTTTTTTTTTTTTTTTTACTGGTGGCTCGACTATGAAGTGGTGTGAAGAAGCTACAGCAGGAGCTCCACATCCTCCCCTGAACAGCTGTACAGTTTTACAGCTGAGGTCAGCCGGCTGCTCTCATTCCTCAGAGGTGGATCATCGTAGCCACGAGGCTGACTCATCCACGGCTGAGTTTAAAAACCTCTGGAGTGCCCAGGAGACAAAGAGTCTGCTGTGAGACTCTGCCCAACGCTGCTCAGCCTTTAGAAGCACCAGAGCTCTGGACAGCAGGAACCGGACTCTGTGGATGAAGCCTTGATGATGGACTTTACGGAGCTGCTGCTGCTGGTGCTCAGCCTTCACGGTGCAGTGTGTGCAGTGGTGCAGTGGCCAGAGTTGAATGAAGCAAAGGTAAGATCCAAACATTTCATAAATGCTCTGATAAGTGAAGCTTTTTGTGTAATTTTAAATAAGACGAGAAAGATTTGATTGCATGCACAGGTCTATTTGAGGCAGTACGGCTACCTGAGTGTTCCAGCTGATCCAAAAGACCACGAGAACCTGGAGGAGATCATCGAAGCTCTTAAGTAACATAACAGTATTTCTCTTTATTTATGTTACCCACAACTGTTAGAGCAGAATACACTAAAATGACCTAACAAAGAATCATGATAGTTTTTTTTTTTTTTTTAATCCATCCTTAGTTTGATCTGCCTCTAATCCTAGAGTCTTCCAGAGGGTGAACGATCTGCTACCTACTGGAGAGGTGGATAAAGATACCCTGGAGGTGATGAGGCAGCCTCGCTGTGGTGTGGAAGATCCCTTTAATAAGAAGTTCCTCAAGTACAGAGTGATGGGTGAGCCACACAGTTTGGACATCTGAAGTTACACAACTTATTTATCATTTAAAAAAAAGTTTCAGTTCTAAAATAGCCTCATCTTCTGGTGTGTGGTGAGTTAGTATTATTTATTTACTTACATTTAGTAAAATACCAACAAAAAAAGGAAAAAAATATTGATTTGAAACCAAAATTTGATTTGATTGGATGGACTTTGGGATTATGTGGGAGAGGTAAAGTCACCTTCACCCACCCCCCAAAGCAACGCCCCTACTTCCATGACCAGCATTAATAAAACTATTTACACTGGCAAACTGGAAGCTACCGTACTTACCATCATACATGTCGCACCGCCGTTTAAGTCGCATCAGTCCAAATACGTCTAATAAAGTGGAAAAAAAACATAAATAAGTTGCTTTGCCAAATAAGTCGCATCTATTACGCGTCACCGCTGACAACCTGGAAACATGGGCCTGTGTTGTGCTAAAAATCGATTGGCGGCCAAATGGCGACCGCGGGAGCGTGCACGGGAGGACTTTAACAAGAATTTAACAAGATTAACACTCAAAAACAATTATTTGTTTGCTCAAAATTATAGCAAAGTTGTGTCTGTTTAACTTTTCCTTAATAAATGCACTTTAATGCTCAAATCGGCTGCATTTCAAAAGCCGATTCGCAGCTGCGGGAGTGCGCAGAGGGAGGACTTGCTGTGCATTTCTTCGAAATTTAACAAGATAACCACCTAAAAACAATTGTTTGTTTGCTTGACGTTATAGAAAAGGTGTGTCTCAGTTGAACTTTTCCTTAATCAATGCACTTTAGTGGTCAAATCAGCTGCATTTCACCTGGGCGGCGGAGAAATGCAGCTGATTTAACGTTTGCTCCAGGAGTTCCGGAGCAAGATGAAGGTGGCCAGGTATGGCAAGCAAAGTGTCTCATTAATAGCCACTTTTACCTATTAGTGAGACATTAGGCTTGCCTTATATGTAGAGGGCCCTCTAGTGGCTGAAAACGATAGTGTTCAATATTTTCTATGTCAGAATGAATGAAATCGTCAGATCTCAGCCAAAAATTGGTTTATAAATATATATTTTTTTTAAGAAAAAAACAAATACGTCGCTTTGCTGTATAAGTCACAGGACATGCTTATTTATGCAAAAACTGCGAAATAAATAGCAGAAATTACAATACATAATTTTGCACAGGGACACATGGAAGCAAACTTTTCAAACGACCTACACCATCAACTGTTGCTGAATGCAGATCTTACATAGATAAGTGATGTGGCCTCACTGATCGTCCTCCACGTGTTTCACAATCAGCTCCGCTGGCAGTGTGAACCCGAGCACGCCGGTCCTTCATAACTGCATCATAGAAGGATTAACAGCCCCCGAAACCCTGAAAGAATCCTTTAAACTATTTAGTTTGAAAGCTCCTTCCTGATGAGGGTGATGATTGAGTGAAAACAGATGTGCTGATTACTAATGAGAGACTAGTGGCTGTGGAGCTTGGAGCAGAGTCCTCTTGAACCGTAACTATTATAACATCAAACGACTTTTGCTGTTCTTTTTTTCTTTCAGGTCGATGGAGAAAAAAGAGTCTTACCTATCGTATCTACAACTACACGCCTGACATGTTGAAGTCAGAGGTCCGGGCCGCCATCCGGTCTGCCTTCCAGTACTGGAGCGATGTGGCAGCTCTGACCTTCAGAGAGGTCGACTACGGCAGAGCAGACATAAGAATCTTGTTTCATAAGAAAGACAACTACTGCTCCGTCCCATTTGATGGCCGAGGTTGGTTTTCCTCATCATTTTCCACAGAAACCAGTGAGGCGGCCTCCGGCTCATGTCACCATCTCCCTGCATGTGCTCCCTGCAGGTCAAGTTCTGGCTCACGCTGAACCGCCAGAGTCCGGTGTTGTCCATTTCGACGAGGACGAGTTCTGGACAGAAGGATCATATTACGGCACTAATCTGCGTATTGTGGCGGCCCATGAAATAGGCCACGCTCTCGGACTGGGTCACTCCCAGTTCAGAAGTGCTCTGATGGCGCCGATTTACGGTGGTTACCGTGCCAACTTCAGGCTGCATTCAGATGATGTGAAAGGCATCCAGACTCTATATGGTGAGTGATGCCTCCTTCGTTATGATGGTGGTTTAAACCTTGGACCAGCGCTGCCACACAGGATTCTTTTCACTTTTCATATCACTGGTTTCTGCTCAAGCTTCTGTTGAAGTGATACCGCTAGTTCAAGTCTTTAAAAGTTATGAACTGTGATGAGTAACTGTCTTACCTGTTATAGGATACCAACAATGTTACTCAAGTCCTCTGGACGATTTCTTTTTTTTTGTTGAAACATTTTGTCTTTCATCCAAAGGATTTCACCAGTCCGAGGAGCCACAACAAACTCAGTCCCATAAGTAGCAGGATCACATAGTGGACCAACCAGTTTGATGGCGATAAGATTTCTGGTGTCCGCCCTCTCCCCTGTCAACTCCTCTGAGGCAGCCATACTTATGGGACGGAGTTTGTTGTGGCTCCTCGGACTGATGAAGTCTTTTGGATGAAAGATGAAACCGTCCAGAGGACCTGGCTTAAATTTGCTGGATTTTTTTACCTGGATTATTGAGCATGAACTTTGATGTTTTAAACCACTTTGGCCATGGCTGCCTCAGAGGAGTCGATGGGGGAGAGGGCGGACTCCAAAAACCATCTTATCACCATCAAACTGGTTGACCCACTATGCGAATCTGTTACTTATGGGACTGAGTTTGTTGTGGCCGCTCGGACTGATGAAGTCCTTTGGATGAAAGACAAAACGTTTCAACACAAAGAAACCGTCCAGAGGACCTGACTGAACTTTGTTGGATTGTTGAGCATGAACTTCCATCTGTTGTAGGATAGCTCAAACTCACTTTGACGAAATAGTTTAACTCTGACTGGACTGATCAACGTGGATGACTGTTACGTCAGCGCCAGTTTTATGTCACGTTGGGTTTTTGTTGTAGATATCTTCAAGCACAACTATTGGAGCAGCAGTAGTAGAACTTCATAACATTGCTGCTAGAATAACCGTAAAGTGAAATTGACAGTGGTGGATTTATAAAATGTCCGAAAGGCCTTCTACAACAGCAAGGGTACAGTTTATAAAACTAGTCGCGTCGCAAGAGACCATTACAGCAACAGACGTTTACAAAAGGCAGAACAAAATTAAAGGCCTTGATCTTTTATGCGTGGAGATTCAAATGCTTGGTTGTCTTTTTTCAGGTTTTTCAGTACTGGTGGAGGTTTACATTATCTCCTTCAAGCCATGAGTCATACAGAGTCTGACTCATGTTCAAACTCGTCAGAAATACGTAACTAGGGGCCCCGAGGAGGGAAGTCTGCAGTTCAATCTTTTTCACCTAAATCTCCCCAAACACAGACAACATGCTGAAGTGTTTTAATAAACACAAGCTGCAGGGGACTGCGAGAAAGCTTTTCTAGTTGTTTGCAAGCATCTTCCTTAGATGCACACTTTTTATATTTGCACAAAAACACCTGCTAAAAAAGGAGTAAACATAAAAAGGATAAACTGTTCCCTTTATTAAGAAATATTAGTTTTATTCTCTAAGTTCCCCTGCTTTAGGTTGCTAAGATTTAGTCTCTGCTTAATATTTAACTTAGTCTGGAAATAACATTTAAGGGATTGTAAATAAGTAGTTGGTGTGTGTTAACAATAACAAATGTTGTTGTGTGCTCAAATAAAGGGAAGGAGAAGTGACTTCAGTACCACTTTATAATACGGCTCCCCTTAGATGGTTAATAGTATATTTTTACTAGCTATTTCTTAACATATTGTACTTTATCACTGCATTATAATAATAATAATAATAATGTCATCACAATGTCAGCACTGTATGTTTCCATACAATGGCGAAATTAGTCTCTGCATTTAACCCATCCACCACTATAAGTATCTACAACTACCGGTAATATTATATCCTAAAAAAATAGGTTTACAAATGCGTATTGTGCTTACAAAGTAGTGACTTAGTCTGAAATGTTTCATATAACAACTCTAGATGAAATATATAGGTGATCAGATTTGTCTCACTATTTGGCAACAAACTGGTCAGTTTTGTTTCTCTGTCACCCTTAATTAATGCATAATAAGCAGTTAGTAATGATTTATAAAGTGTTTATAAAGGAAGTAATGATGTATCTATAAACTATTTATTAGCCATCTATAAGTGGAGCCTGGTTGTAAAGTGGTACCGTGATTTAAAAAAAAACATGAACAAAACAACAACTTTACGCTTTATTGTTTGCTTCATTTCTGCTTTATTTCACGAAGATGCCCCCCCCACTCCCCCCCCACACACACACACACTGAAAAAATTTTTGTTTATTTGATCAAAAACTCTCCACAAAATCAGTTTGTGTTTTCTAGGTGAAACGTTTACTTAAACAGTCGTTACAGTTGTTCATATCTGGCAGCCAGCGCGGTTCATAGAAAAGATCATTTGGTTAAAAACATTCATTCGATTTACGATTTCTCATTGTTTCGATTTTCTGTTTCAGGCCAACGCAGCACTTCAGACAACACGTCCCCTCCAGAGAGCCAGTCTCCAACTCAGAGCAGCTTTGAGAGCGACAGGATTCCTGATCCGTGCACCGCCACGCTGGACGCCATCATGCTAGGTGCTCATGCTAACATTATTTGTTGACTTTTTGTCTTTCGCTTCAGTCGAGGCACTCTATAATTTGAATCACGATGACGATGTGCTCATTCAGGCCCGTGGGATAAGACCTTTGCTTTCAGTGGTGAGTACTTCTGGACCGTCACAGACCTGGGCCACAACACCCCTATAAAGATCAGCAGACTGTGGAGGGAACTCCCTGGAAACCTGAACGCTGCCGTCCACTCTCAGAGAACCAACAAGACGTACTTTTTTAAAGGTGGAGTGATTTTTTAAAATTTATTTCTGCACAGCGAAGCCTCTGCAGAGTTTCTGCTCTGCAGCTGTCGCTTCTTAAGACTAAACGTTTGGCCTTCTTCTGGTCACAGGCAGTAAAGTGTGGAGGTACACGAGGTTCATGCTCGACTACGGCTACCCCAAACAGGTGAAACGCATCCCTCCTGATGTCGATGCAGCCTTGTACCTGCAGAAGAACAAGAAGCTAATCTTCATAAAGGTAAATAAAGAGGATAAATAAGCATTTAGATATTTATACTATAATGGCTTTTACTTTTGCCTGTGTGTGTGTTTGTCTGTTAGCAAAATATCTCATGTAACACAGAGCGGATTTGAACGAAACTCTCTGAAATTAATCCTTAGAAGGAAATCTTAAATTGAATAACTTTTGGAGTTAACCCATCAAAGATGGCTGCCACAGCTAATCAACCTTAGCAAACACAAACATGACTATTACTCATCCAGTTTAACAGATATTGACCTAATATTTAGTGTTATTAGCTGAAACTGATCTCCAACACATTCCACATGTTAACTGATGTCACAAGGTCTTTAACATTTTGCATTTACCTATTGGAGTCAACTCTGTTAGCAAAATATCTTGGGATGTAATTAACAGATTTTAATGAAATTTAAAAAAAACAATCATTAGACGTCCAGTTACAACTGATTACCTTTTGAAGCCAACCCAGATTAAAATGGCCGACTCAACCAACTGACTTTAGGAAACACAAACATGCCTATAATTCAGTTGATTTTAAAGATATTGAGCTAACATTTTTTCTTGTAGTAGCAGTTATCCTCGACACATACTCAAAGCGTTAAACACTGTGTGAAACCCTCTGTTAGCAAAATATATCGACTCACTTGATGGATTTTATTTAAACCTTTAGAAAATAATCGTTAGATGCATATCTACAACTCTTTTACTTTTGAATCCAATTCAAGATGGCTACCACAGGAAACACAAAAATGGCTACGATTCAGTCTTTTTTTTTTTACAGATGACGAACACAAATTTTATGTAGTAGTAGTTGAGAGTCATTCACAACTTTGAGCGTGACATCTCGCATACCCTTAATTTGAAGGTTTGACTAAACAGCTACAATCATGAAAAAAAAAGTTAAATCATCATCTGAACAGATTCTTCTGGGAAGAAATGTTTTGTCTTTCATTGGAAAGACTTTCAGTCTGAGGCCTGTCAACAAGATCTGTCGTATAAATAGCACCTTATTGACGTGTTTCAAGTCAGCTGTGGAATTTCTAGAAACTGACTTTACACGTGCAGAAAGGTCGACCATCAGTCTGAACAATTGATCATCAATGCATAACAATCAAATGTTATAGGCCTGATGGCCGCTTGCTACAATCTTACCGTACTTGCCGCCGTACACGTCGCACCGCAGTCCAAATATGTCTAATAACATCCTGATGCATGCTCAATAATCCAGGTAGAAAAATCTAAAAAAGTTAAGTCTGGTCAAAATTCAACATTTTTGAATGTCCAGAGGACCAGACTTAACTTTTTTAGATGTCTAATAACGTAGAAAAAAAAACATAAATACTTCGCTGTATAAGTTGCAGGAATTTATGCAAAAAAACTGTGACTTACACAGCGAAAATTACAGTAATTGAACTCTCTGGCTTGTGAGTGACATACATTCAGAGAATGTTGGGCCTTTAGTCTGATGACGGTTTTTGCCACCCTTCTTCTTGCTTCCTGTGTGCAGGGATCAGAGTACTGGCAGTTTGATGAGCTGAGCTACAACAGTATGACTTTCTACCCCAAACCGCTCAGCATGCTCTTCACCGGAGCGCCCTCCACTCCTGACGCAGCCTTCACCTGGACCAACGGCAAGATCTTTTTCTTTAAGGGAGACGAGTACTGGAGAGTGAACGAGCTGCTGATGGTGGACAGAGGATACCCTCTGAGCAAGAAGGAGCGCTGGATGCGCTGTTAGAGCCCAAACATTAGAGGGCAGCAGGTCCCCTGGTGTTCACATGCAGTGATTGGAGATCACTGATTTGATTTCACTGGATCTTTTACCAAGCTACACCTCAAAGCAGGCTGGTTTTTATCAGGTTTTTACTGTTTAGGATGACTGAATTATGCAAGCTCCACCATAATCGTGAAGAGAAATCCAGGATTTTTTTACTCCTGTTGACACGTGTTTGGTTATGTGTTACAACACTCCGAGTCAGACGACGACAGGAGTGTCCGAGATACCACGACGCAGATTTTTGTTGTGATTTATAGTAAAAATGACCATTTTTTAATACAAATTAAAAAAATGTAAACGCTGAACTTGCCTTGTATGGTTTTTGAACATTTGCTTACATTCACATAAAAATTCCTCCAACATTCACAACAAAAGCATGATCTGTTCTGCATTGTTGTCTGGGGAGAAAAAAAATAAACTTTAGCAGCGCCATGGCTACACCAACCAATCAGAGGGTAGGAAATCCTCCTCATGACCTCTTTATGAAAAATCCACCGAGTAATGCTGGTGTTGCTAAGAGCCTGAGGAAACAAACAGTGCTACATAATCGACTCCTTTGATAAGTTAAAACTTTTTTTTTTTTTTATTAAACACCTTCATGAAAATCTTAACGGGTATTTACAAGTGTGTTGCTCTGGTTGAAAAGTATTCAGACACAAAAGGCAGGAGGACAACAAACATGCCTGTCCTCGATTAAAAAACAACAACATTACCAGGTACTTTATTAGATAAATTATTAAAAAAAAACAACATCCATACAAGCGTTCACAACATAAATGTCTTCACTGATTGCTGTTTATACTCACACAAGGTAAAAACGGCTTTAAAGTGGTTCTCTAATAGATCCTGATGAGGGCTTTTCATTCACATGCAATATTTCACTCTCACCAAACTCCATTTAAAAAACAACAAATAAAAATCACTTTGTAGACTTTCCATAAATCCTATGCCCATCCAGCTAGAAAGTATGACAAATGAGAATACAAGCCTTCATGGTAATGACTAATTATTGAAGTACAGTACACGTAATGTCAAACAAGGCTCGTATTTGCTATTATGTATTTTATACATCATGAGTGAAAATGAATAACCTTATTTTGCGAGCTGTTTGTTTAAGGTTTTTCAAAGAAAACGCAGGAGCTGCAGTGGTTTTCGAGTCATCAAACAGGAGTTTAACATCCACTGTTTTCCCGCAGAGAGCAGCAACCTGTTCACTCTGTGGATTTAAAAAAAACAAACACGTCGCTTCAAAACCTATTTCACAGCAATTGAACCCTGGAGACTGGAGCCGTGGGCGGTTCTACTCTACGTAAAGGAAGACGTGCAACTACTCTTCCTAAAGAAGATCCTCTACGTTAAGAAGACGGCGTGAAGTGAGTCTCTTCTCGTCTCAGACCCTGACGACTGGAGTTGTGGCTGTGAGGGGAACCGTGGAACTGGTGTCGTAGTCCAGGTCGATCACGGTTTGGTTGACGGTGCCGAGGCTGCTAAGGGAAGTACCGGTTCCCATCTGTCTGTCTCGCAAACTTTGTAGGTAGCTCTGAAAGGAAGAACGACACGGGGAGAGATGAGCGAGAGACTGATCTGTACTAGTCCAGCTTGTAAACATCTTTAAACAACATAAACTAAAAGTCACTACAGCACACGCCATGTCGGGTGACACTGACCGGTGCCAGTAGGTCCCCGGCGTAGCGTTTGACTGGGGTGGGTTTACGACGGTATGTGCCTTCCTGCCCACCTGCCTGCTGTCGTTTCTTGGCGTCCTTCTCTCGAATCCGCATCAGCTGGACTCTCTTCTGTCTCTGACCGATGACAACTGCGAATCAATCAATACGAAGTGTAAGCACAGGTTGATAGAAACAGATAAAAAAAAAGCTTTGCAGAGAGTGGTGAAGGCTGCACAGAAGTCTGTTGGAGTCGGCCTCCCCACCATCACAGACATCTACACCTCCAGATGCAGCAAGAGAGCCTCCTGCATCATGAAGGACCTCACTCACCCAGCACACATACTTTTTGCCCTGCTCCCCTCAGGCAGGAGGTTGAGGAGCATTAAGTGTAGAACCACTAGACTGAGGAACAGCTTCTACCCTGAGGCTGTTAGACTCATGAATCTCTAACAAGAATAATCATTGTGAAAAATCACATCATGTTGCTGCTGATCTGTTGCATGTTGCTGCTGATCTGTTTCATGTTGATGTGCTCATTCGTACTCTCTTTTTTAAATATCTTAGATCTTATTACTTTTTTCTTTTACATTTTATACTTTTGTTGGCTGTAACTGGGACCCTGGGTACACAATTTCATTCCACCCTGTGTACCACATGTGATGTGAATGACAATAAAGAAACTGAATATATTTCAACACTTGCTTTAAGTTGGGCTAAGTCACATGATTAAAGTGTCTTGTTCTTCAAGCCTACTAAAGACTTGTGTGTTGTGTTTACAAGAGCAGTTGTGCATGTGCACTTAGTTATCTAACAAGCTTTACCCTCAAGCTCTCCAGCACAACGACCTCATTATATTCAATAAAACCCTTCTTAATGGAGCAAGAAAGCACGTTTTCTGCTGTAACCTGGAGCCAAATCAAAAATGTTTCCACGAGAGAAAGGTTCGACAGGACCTCGTGTTGCGCAGCATGACTGAAAAAGATCAACTTCAGATTATGTCTACGGTTCATATCAGAACAAAAGCTCCATTTCAAGATGTTTAATAAAGAGCAGGTCACACAAACTTTTTAAAGATGCGTGTATAAAACACCATAAGATTTTGGTGCAGAATCTAAGGTTTAAGTTTAAGGAGGCCCATCCAAATAAATGAGATCTTTGGTCAAGAATTAGGTTTTTGGATTCAAAATTCTGCCAGACAACGAGAACGTATAAAAACAAATGCATTGTTTTGCAGCAGCTGGTGGGAGTTTGGATCCAGTTGCGGGAACACGTCTTCTCAGGCAGGTGAGGTGGGAGCCACCTGTCGGAGCTTGAAGAGATGACGTCACCGCAACCAGCGGGAGAGCCGCTGCGTAAGGAGGGCTTTAATGCTGCGAACAGCAGAGCAATCTTAGGTCCTAATCCGAAAGACGAAGCAGGGGTCAAGCACGGGGAGTCAGAGGTCCAAGAATAAATCCAAAGGTCGAACCGTAATCCAAAATCCATAAGGCAGAAAGGGTAGTCATTACCTGGGTCAGATGGGCAGAACAAAACCAGACAAAGAGCAGGCAGAACGGTAAATCCACAAGACGAGGTGTGAGGTCGAAACCAAAAGAAAAGGCTGAGGCCGAGATGAGAACATCAGGCGGGAACAAGAACAAAATAGCTGGATATCTAATACCATGAAGGGTTCAATAATCTGGCCAATACTTGGCGTGGATGGGATGCCGAAATAGAGCGTGCAGCAGGTGTAGGGCATGAGCGCTGTGGGCGTGGCAGAGAATGGTGATCATGACATCTTTAATATTATTTGTGCAGTTATATTTAAAATAGTTTAAAATAGTAACACGTAAACCCATGCAGTTCATCAAAGACTGAGTTTTATTCCTTTATTTATTTCTTTTTTTCCTGCTTTTATTTTCCCCTTCAGCAACAGAAATGCATCTTCATTGATTATTTTCACTTGCCGGCAATATTTAGACTATCCACGCTTTACAAACAGGATAAATATTTAGCTTTATGGTGTTTGTAGATATTTCAAATAGATGGTTCCAATTTATCTTCCTATTCCAAAGCAACAGAACACACTCTTATTAATGATTTATGCTCACATTATGCTCTCCTTATGTCACTGCAATCTTTGCACTCAACCAAGAAGTAAACTACGTCCAGATCCTTCAAAGCACGAAGCGTTACTCGAGCTAACCGTCCGTTCTTAAAGTGTGTCCTGATTTACCCCACGGTCCTTCTGCTCCGCTCTAACTCTGCAGGAGCCTCGGGATATGTCGTAAAGCAGCAGTGTGTGTCACAAGATGCTACAAACAAACGAGTACTGCATACGGCACATTACACGCTAAATGTATTTTGACATTTTTTCATAAATTGTGACTCCGGAATGATGCAAAAAAAAACATTTGCAGGTTGTTGCTTTTTCTTGCATATATAACCTTAGTTTTGTGGCCACACAGCAGATGCAACATTTATCACATCAACACAAGATGCCCATCCACTGCAGATCACCCCTGAATCTTTGTATGGCCAACACCACATAATGAATGATTACAAATCCACTGAATGATAAAGCCCCAAAATACAAGGTGATAAATGTTGTTCATATTTCATTTGGCTGTATCAAGTTCAGTGAAATAAATCTGAAGGGCACAAGTTTTATTAAATTATACTGAGTGGATGAGAAGTTATGGCCGTACATATGAGAGGACGGAGACAATACGTCCGTCTTTCAGCAGGCTTATAAAAATAATTAAATCCAACTTGGTGAAATTAGGATGTATTAATGTTTTAGCACAGTTGGATATTAAACAGCCTTTTTTAATTAATACAAGATATATCCTTACATGTGTAAGGTGCCATTTTTACCACCAAAAACTCCTGGGTCACTTTCTGACTTTGCTTCGGGTCAGTGTTGGGTCAGTGCTGCGAAGTCATCCAATCAGATCTGATGGATTTGGGTCAAAGTGAGCAGACAGTGTACTTCTGTACACAATTCAACGGTCTTCATCATAGCCACAACTTACCCAGATACCCATGCCCATCACTCCGCTTCCACATATTTACAGCTGATCCTGTTTGTGTTGGATCATTATTAGCTTTAAATTACATCCTAATAAGGATTCCCTGTTTCAGTAGTGCGAAGAGATCTAGTAATTACCGTAAATATTGTGGGTACATACTACGAAAAAAAAAAATCACATCATGCTGCTGATCTGTTTCATGTTGCTGTGTTCATTCATGCTCATCTGCTCACAGACTCATGTTCGTGCTGTTGTTCGGCGTATTGTTTTTATGCTACTAGTGTTTAGTGTATTTTTAGTTAACGTTTTTCTAAGTTCATATCTTAGATCTTATTACTGTTTTTCTTTTGCATTTTATACTTTTGTTGGATGTAACTGGGACCCTGTGTACACAATTTCGTTCCACATGTGGTACGTATGACAAATAAAGAAGCTCTGACTCTCTAAATAGCATCACCGTCAAAATGTTATTTGGTAGACCAAACTGCGTTTCATTCTTACCCTCAGTGTGTGAGAAGCTGTCATCCGTCAGTTTCCACTGGACCAGAACTCCAATGATACTAAGAGCAGGCCAGATGCCCAGAATGACCCAGCTGTACCAGCAAAGCGCCGGCTGGGGCATGAGGCGTAAGCAGTCATACAAGTATGAGGGCAAAGCCAGCATCTCCACAAAGTAATCAGCACACACAGTCATGATGGCTGCTCCGAACACGGCCGTGGAGAGCACCGTGAACATCTTCTGCCACTGCAGAGTCAGCACGGCGAACAGCATGCCTATTCCCAGAAGAGCGCCCAACGGCACCCAGACTGTAGTCGGTGTGTAGAACTGGTAGGTGGCCAGTAGCCCAGCAAGGGCCAGGAGGAGCCCCAGCAGCAGGCCCGTCATGAAGAGGCCAACGCTTCGCACCAGCATGGTGACAAGGCCGCAGAGGAGGCCAATGCCGAGGCCGATACCTGCACTGGCCTCCACGCTCAGCTGGGTGTCGAAAACATGCTCCTTGTGGCACAACAGGAAAATGATGACTGAGCCGAACATCAGGCCGGACAGGAACATGACAGCTTTGAAACATCGGTAACCTAAAAGAGCAGGAGAACGAGAAATCAGGAGCTGAAGGGCACAGAAGAACAATCAGTGTCTCGGCATGTGTGAGCTGAAAGGGGTCCTCACCAAAGAAGCAGTAGATGATGCCAAAAAGGCAAGACATGGAGCAGATGACGGTGGGAATGACATCGTATGTTCGCTCTATTTCCAAACTGCAAGCATCAACATCAGCCACACCTGCCCCTTCTCCATCAAAGCTCAGCTCCATGGGATCAGTCATTCTGGTTGAAGGTTGGAGGCTTCGGGACGGGATGAAGGTCAGGATGAAGGTCGAACTTCAGTTATCTCAAGTCCATTTGTGCAAGGTTGGTGACTGTGGAAGAAGAAGAAGAAGAAGTGTAAATGAAATAATAAGTTATGAAAGTTTGCTCAAAGTGAAACAATTATTAAAATAGCTTTACCCTAATAAACAGCATCTCAATCTACAACAGGTAAGATATTAAGTGTTTATAATCTTTTCACAGAACCCCACTTCATAAAAAATAGAACCAATGCTTTATAGTGTAATGGGTCATAATCTTTTGTTATACTTTATTTAACTTTAACTTAAGTGTGTGTCTTCAGCCCATTTCCAGCAAACACTTTTTATTAGTTTATCTCAATAAAAAGTTTGATTTTCCTTCATTTTCAGTTACAATAACAAACATACAAAAAAAAAAAAAGGATTAAAACGTTTTTAGCTGACTAGTGTAAACATATGAAATTACATATTCAGTTTCTTTTCTTCTCTCGCCCTCCTTGATGATTCCTGTTTCAGCAGCAGGACGCTCTCGTACTGAAAGACCGTATGATAGTTAAAGCGGCAGGTCTGAAGTCGTGTTCGAGGCAGATGGGTGGACTCCTCTTTCTGAGGCTGCTGGCAGGCCTCCTGTATGAGCTCACCACAGCTGAGATCAGATTACAACTTATTCACGTTGTCTGCTTCACACAAATTATCAGGAACAGTCAGTTCTGTCTTTAAGGCCCAATAACTCCCAGCTTCTCTCATTTTGGTCCTTTCCACATTCACTTTGCCTCAAAGATGTCCTAACCTAAATCTCTTTTTTTTTTTTATCCTGAGTGAGACACAACCGTTATGTATTTTTCCTCAAACACAAGACTGTATAATTTGTGTGTCCTGTCCAGGAATGACTTTACTTGGAAAAAATGAGACCGCTGGAAAGTTCTTTCTTCTTCGGTCACATTTCTTCTGCGCCCATTTTTTTTTTTTTTAGGCTTTCTATCATCGACAACTGCAATGTTTTGATTTTACTCTGACAGAACGGAGGATATGCTCATAACCTTTCAAACTTCAAAAACCTGCAATGAATAATGGCTTATAAAATATAATACGATCCAGTTTCGCAAACTGTACAAACTGTTCCAACGTGAAGACAAAGAACAGCTGCAGAAAAAAAGAGGTTAGAATCAATGAGATGAAAACAACTTCTGCTAAAGGGTAAAAAAAAATAAAAAAAAACAGCAGGAAAAGAGCAGATATGACAGCTGGGTGTGTATCTGTGAGGGTGAAACTCAAAGGAAACTAAATTTCTAGCAGATGTGGATATGACTGCTGGTGTGTAAGAAAGAACTGCAGCTCTTCATGAGCCTGAATGGTATAAAAGTTAATAAAAATGACAATAACTTTAGTTTCAATCTGGTTTGAGTGATGCTGTAATCCGTCTTTTCATGTTGTCATAAATTTAGACAAAAAAGAAAACAACTGGTTTATATTAGCTTAAAAATGAATTACGTAAAACATTTATGTGGAATAAATGAAGTAAACAACAAATTGGGAAGTGGTGGGCACATCTAAACAAAAAGTTGGCTTTGTTAACCACTAATTTGCCAACTAGACAATTAGCTTCGCTAACGCTAAACAGATTAAAAAATATTAGCAAAAGCTGACAATAAAGTGCTAACTTTTCCTGAACACTGCTGTCGCTGACACTGTAAGACTGTCTGTAACGTGACAACGTTGTAAGTGAGCACAACTCAAAACAGTTCGTAAATCACAAGTAAAGCACCCAGGTCCCATTCAGAGATGAGCTTTCAGAAATTAATCCGGTACATCGGAATCAAAGGAGCGAATGAGCAGAGTGACCCATTCAATGTGTCGGACATCTTCCTCGTGTCATTTACTAATGAATTAACTCACTTTGTGAGTTAATTACTTTTATGAACTAACTACAAAGTTACTGTGCATCATCATCAATATTCTCTTAGTAATACATCTGTTTGTATTAAAGATGTGTGAAATGTGCGAGAGTCGTATCCCAGAGACAATGTGAGTGTTGCAATGCATGCTGGGTAAGAATTATGTGTGCAATGCTTCTGACTGTTTACAATGTTTCTGAGTGTGAAAATGGGTTTTTCATGTTATTTTCCTGTTTTGGTTTGATGTTTACATTAAAGCCTCTGTTGTTAGCTGTAAACTGACATTATGAGTGAGAGACTGTTTGTGGTAGGTATGAGCGGGAAAAACACTGCAAGGGTGGTGACATCACAGGGCGATGCTTAGCTTTGCATAGCATCGCTCCGTGTAAATCAATCATTCTCCTGAATACTTTTAGTGTGAAATGTCTTTTGCTAAATGGAAAGTTAGTTCCGCCATTTGAGGATTAGCCGAACCGTGCCCACCAATGAAATTGGGAGTTGATGGTTTTGATTTAGTTATTGGATGCTGGTTTGTTTCAGTGCATGTTACCCTACTTGGCTTTTGTCCAACACAACTCCTGGTTGGTTTAATATGAAAATGGCTTCCTGCGCAGAACTTTACATACTGAACTCACCTGTTCAGGAGGTCATTTTTACTCTAGGACTTTTTTTCCCTTCCTATACAAAGATAAATACCTAAACCTAAACAACAAGCAACTGTGGAATAAACTAGACAAGTTACATTTTATTGTAGCTTAGTTATTTGTTTTCACTGTTGAGGCTAAGCCACGCTGTGGGCTAAGGACTTGGATGAGGTCATTTAACTGGATTAAGAACTCACGAGTGCTAAAGTAAAATGATTTTGCGTTACAGTTTTGTAAGTCACGTTTTAATTAGCTGTAAAGTCAGCATTAATGGTGTGAAGTAGTACACTCCCTTCACTCCCATGACTCAAGTTACGTCCCTTCATCACAATGGTGTCCTGTGTCAGGCAGGCTTGGAAGTCAATGCTGTTGTGGGAGAATAGAGCCATTATGGGGCAAAACAAAGACTAGGAGGCCCATGCTGTGACCTCTAGTGGCACTCAGAGGAAACCATGCAGACAAAAAAGACCGCATAAAGATGCCTGAGAGTAGCAGAAAAGCTGTCCCAGTTCGCTTAAAGATGTGTGCCAGCTTTTTGTATTCAGTGAGCTGAAGCAGGGGAGCAGTTGGGGGGCCCGACTGGAAGTGGGAATCTCGGACTGAGCTCTCTGGAGGTTCACAAAACTCGGTAATATTTTAGTTTCTGTAACTAATTCAATACGTGTCATCTAGTTCTCAAGTCAACGGCAGGAACCATATGAGGCTGAGCTTCAGGATGCCAAAGAAATGCACCGATTGCAGTTTTCTAGGTCAAATCTGGTTTCTGATTTTTGTTGAACTCTGACCTGCCGATAAAGGTTTTGGAGTTATCTTTATGCATTACAACTGACAGTATTCAAAATATTCTTGTATATTTGTGGTGTGTTAAAATTATGAGATGAGTTCTTAAGAAAGCAAGAGATTATATACCAAATTACCGGTATACGTCATGTTCTTATACTTTACAGTTTATATTAGATATTACACAGTATATATGTAATTACAGTATTACAGACAGTGGTATCCGAGCAAATAACCAACTGGAAAGAAATTACAGTGCAGCTGTAAAGCTGATTAAATTACAAATTATTCACTTGTGTAAGCAAAGCCTCTTAATTTTACTCTTTCTTTAATTTTGAACACCCAAGACAAAAATAGCTTCCTCTCAGTAAAAAAAAAAAAAAAACACTGAACCACTTTTGTGTTGATTTAAACAAGAGGAGAAAAATACCACATTTTTAAGTACCGGTACATAACAAAGTAAAGTGCTATGTGTTGTCATCATTATATGTTCCCATACAATGGCGAAATTAGTTCTCTGCATTTAACACATTGCACGTGGGATGCACCCAGGTGGAGCAGTGGGCAGCTATGCGAGTGTCCAGGGATCCATTTGGGGATTGGGTGTCTTGCTCAGAGACACTACGACATATGGGAATGGCTCAAGTCTGGGACTTTTGGGTCCCGAGTCGGCTGCCCTATCTCTACCCCATCTCGGCCTCCGAGACTTGATCTACTGATCACAGTCACATACAGTACTGGGTAAGAGGTGTACCTCTGCTGTCTGACTTTTACAGAAACTGTTCGGCCCATTGAGAGTTGATAACCTGTTGTATACGGATTAACATGTTGCATACCTAATTTAATATATAACTCTGTGAAATTCAAAAGAACAAGCTTAACATTTTTACAGTAATTGTACTTTTTTGTATCCATCCATCCAATTATGTTGCGGGGAGCTGGTGCTCATCTCCAGTGGTCAATGGGTCAGAGATGTGACACAAACTGAGCAGATCACAAGTCCACCACAGAGCCACGTTTTAGTACAAGTTAAATGTTGAACAACCAATTAGCTATCTCCTATAATAATCCGATAGATGACGATTTACAGCCAAGTTGCAGATGAGCGGCTAGCACATTCCTTTCGTCTTGAGTTAATTTTGCTTGAATTGCGGGGGGTGCTGAGCGAAGCAGATTTGAGTGCTCAGCTTATGAGGAACAGGCAAGGCTAATTTCAAGGTCCCCACATAGCTAATTTGGGAGTGTTTAATCGAGGAGTGCTTGTGATCACAGGATCCTGCAAGTGCTCCACTAATTTGACAGCTAAGGGCAGCTGAGAGGCCGAAAACCTGCCGTGTTGCGACTTAAATGTCTCACAGCCTTGTTTAAAAAGACGACCAGGAATGTAAGAGGCAACAAAAGGACCAAACAGTTGTAGCTGTAAATCACACCACCTTCAGCTGAACAGATCATTACTTGACAACAGCAACCATGGGAAAACAGTTTAACAGTCCCAGCGGGGGTATAAAGTGATACAATAATGTGTTGAGTGTAAAAGCGTACTGTAAACACATAATATGAGCTCTCATCCTTTCAATAGCATCTGCTTACTCTGTAAACCCTATACAGCAAGACATCAAGTGCCCCCACTACGGAGCTTCCTGTCTCTTCATAGCAGGAAGCTCAGGACCAGATGAGGAAGTGGAACATCAAGTTTCAGCAGGAACTGACTCGTGTGTTTGTGAGATGGAGCAGAGACAGAACCAAAGAATAT